GGGTGGGGGGGGGTCTGAATTGAGCGATCAATTATTAGACCCGGACGTCCCAACACTTGCTTCGCAAGACAAACTCAAGGTATCCCCTAAAGGGCTACCTTTCGTGATTTTGCAGGGCGGGCAGTGGGTCATCTCGACGAAAAGGCCGAGGGGCATGTCCTCTTGATCAACCAATCAACAAAGCGAAATCGCTCAAGGTCAACCGGTCCAATGGTTTAATTACTGTGCGATGGTCAATGCCTGGGCCACTTGCAGTCAAATCATAGGTGGAGTGTTGAAAAGTCCAAACTTGGTGAAGAAGCAGGGCATTTGGGGGTGGGATGCTGCAGAAAGGAGCAGGGAATACTGTACTATGATGTTTGTTTGTTTTTTTTTTCCCATGAAGTCTGGGTATCCCATTGCACAGTATATATTTGCTTCGCTGCCGGAACTTAGATGCGTCTCGTGGGTTTGGAAGCTTTGGGGTCTGGCATGGTCTGGTGCAAGCGGCTAGGTGGCTAGGTAGACTCACAGGGTGTTGGAAAATAAGTGTCTCCAGCTCTCCACTCCATGTTGCTGACTAATAGATACTACTAGTATCTAATAGTATAAAAATCCAGCTTTGCCAACAAACAAACAGTCACTAGGAATTGTTGGCCCTGCAAAAGCTGATTCGTTGCAGTTACTGGAGACAGCAAAGCTCTACCCAGAAGTAGAGCAAAGCACTCGTGGGCATCCGCTCAACAGAAGTTGCGCTGGCTCAACGCTCAGCAGATCACTAATCACAGTCATCCGAGTTCACAAGTTGACACCGCGGGTCAACAAGCTGACACTCTAAAACCGCTGGGTCACCATGCTCCCAAAGACTTTCTGAACATCGTGGGCCAAGCGCAAGCATGTCATTAGCAGCCGAACTCAGAGTTTTCAAGTTCGCAAAAGTGGCAAATTTCAGCCAATAGACGCTCTTTTTCAGCTTGCGATCTTCTCGACAAGCTCTTTTCCAGAGACTCGGATACTGACCTTAGATCCGGAATTGTGAATTCATGAGCTCTTCTGAAAAGAACTCAAAGGCGCGTCAAAGCAGAAGCAAACACAATGTAGCGACCTGTACTAGAGGAGCCACTCCTGTACTAGATCGTTCTTTTTTTCACTGCTGATTGCTTATAAATCAGTCCACTGCAGTGGAAGAAGCCCGGGTGGATGGAAGCGCTCTTTATCGCCCTAACGGAAGACCGGACGTCACTGGTCGCTCGGATCAGAAAGAAAACCACGGAAGCAAAATCAACAACAGAGTGAGGGAACCATGAGTGTGGTGAGGGGTGGGACTGATGGGAACCCAGGATCGGAGAAGGGTGGGGTCGTTTGGGTGAACATGAGCACTGCACGGCACACTGCTCTACTATTTCTACATGTTTGTTTGCTGAATTTGCACGGTGACCGATGACACCGCCGATGACTGAGTCATTTAAACACATTTAACGCCTTTTGATCAAGGCATGCTGCGGGTGCTCATGGAAGCTGTTGATCACGTCTAATTCTGGATTCCAGGCGCCGATTGGAACATCCACTAGCAAGTCACTGATTTTGCAAATACAGTAGTAGTTTCTTGTTACTAGGAAGGCCAGGAGCTACTAGTAGCTTCTTGCTTCGTTCGTAGCGACACCCTTTGCTACTAGTAGCTTCTTGTTACCAGTCGTCTACGGTCCAGGAACTGGTTGTTTGCCCCTCCTCCGCCTTTCCTTTCTCGTGGTCCGTTCCGTCGGAACGGGCGCCCGAGTTTTCTCGGGTCCCCCGACGTGGGAGGAACCAGGCGGAACCGAAGGAACCGAAGGAACCAGGAGATCCAACATAACACATCATTCCAAGTAGACAAGTTAAAATCGAGGAGCAAATGATCTGATTTCAGAGTCGAGGACACAAAAGAAAGGTGTCCAGCCCAGACTCTTGTTGAGCAGTTGAGCAGTTGAACATGGAAACGGCATAGTCAGGGGATGTCAGGGGATCTTTAAACCGCCCTTGGGGTGGCGCTGGTATAAATCATGACTTGAGTTCTTCTATGTGCTCCGAATGTTTGCAAGCAAACAACCAATATTGTTTCTTAGTTATACTCTGATCATCTCTGATCCTTTGACAAAGTTGTGACCTGTGAATTTTATTTTCTGATCAGAAGGGCGACCTAGACAATATTCCATCTACCGAGCCCATTCCACCTAAACAATTGATTTCGTGGTAGTGCCAAGTCCCTTTGTCCCAATGTCTCTTCGGCAATCATTGATTGCAAAAAACAGCTGGGGCAAACAGAGTCGCAAAATGCTCAAAGAGCCATTGCGAATCTTGCCGCATTAACTTCCTTGTTTCGAACATTGCAGCCCGGTGAAACCAGCAATGTTTTGTCGAACAAAGTGCTCAAGGGATTCATGTGTGAGAGTTTGAAGCCATCGGTAGCGTTTTTGGAGGCGTTTGCTAAGCATGCTGCCCCGTTGCGAAGTGAGGTAGGGCGCCAGCACTATTCCCACTGTTTTCTCAGGTTTAATTGATAGGAAAAGTGATAGAAGCTCGCAGGTGTCATTCAAGTCACTTCCAGTCAGTTTGCCATACTTCTTGAAGTCAAGCCAAACGATGTTAAGATCATTCCACACACACACACACACCTTCAAACTCGTTCTCCTCGGCGTACCATCCCCCCCCAAAAGACGACGAACACCTGCGACTTCTCCTCGACGGCCGACTCCTTCGGATCCAGGACGATCCCACCCTTCGACAAGAAGCCCATCCTTTCGCTGGGCCACTTCCCTCCTCCAACCTGCGAGGCCGGTCACACACCGGTGAAGCGTGACTGACACTGGCAACTGCACTAGCTGGAGCTTGTGTTGATTGGAGTCTGGTAGTGGGCAACTCAAAGGTTTAGGATGGTTTAGGATTTGGGGCACGGCCTATATTGTTCCCATCATCTACTAATTATACTGTTTTGGTGTAGTTGAAGGTCTATGGACAACAAAGCACCTTTCAACCTCACCTTTCTTTCAATCCCCATGTGTGTCCAATCCAAACGCAAGATCTGACAATGTCTGACAACCATGAAATCCGAAACCTTCCCCATGTTTTACCGCAGAAATCATATCAACCAAAACAGGTCGCCGGATCTGCTTCAGCTCCTTCAGTGCCTTTGCTGAAAGGCCGAGAGACCAATCTGTAGCCAGGTTCACCAAGCATTTGCCCAACACCATAAAGTGCTGCACACTCTGAAAAGTATCTAGCTACTTAAACCAAGTCAGAACATTCCCACCACACCAGCTTTTAGCAGCTATAGTGAGCGTTTGGAGAAGCGCCAACCAGCACGAAGTTCGTGGTCTAAGAGCATTGTCAGGTGGTTTCTACATGTTTCTACCAGTATTGCCAAGGTTTTGTCCCCACCAAGGCCTCCCTACAAATTCCACATCTTAATTATGAGATATTATGAGATATTTGCCTGTTGCCTCCTTCAATCTAGCCGAAGGCTATCTAAGAAGGTCGAGCGCAACCCCCCTTCATCACCGCAACATCCACATCCTGATCTCGAGCGACGGAAGACACCGCGCGATCGTCCAATCCGGCGGTTCCGCCACAGCGGTCGAAGGAGTTCCGGAGACGGACCGAGCGGTGCCGATCGGACCGAGCGGTGCCTGTAGCAGAGTCGCTCGCCCACACGAGCCACCTCTTCCACGATGGCACCGGTGGAGACCTCGCAGTTGGTGTGGGAAGTCCCGAGTCTTACTCGGGTGCACCAGCGAGTGCATGTGGCAAAAGAAACGCAAGTCCATAGAAAGGGTGAATTTGGAGCCCGGTCTTGGAGGGTCTCGGGATGTTCACAGCAAGTGGTTGAGCCGAGCCGTATTTTTGTTCTGTTAATTTCCTTCAAGCACTAACACTAATACCAAGCATAAGCAAACCGTGTAAACATGGCAATGATAGCAAGATAAAAGTCCGCAGAAGTCAAACATTGACAAATTCACATTGAATGTTGTTGTTTTTTTTTTTCCCAATCGGAGATGTCAGCAATGTTTTCTGCAGCCATAAGCCATACGCATTGAGATCACTCGTGACAAGATAACACATCCATTTGTATCATGATAGTATCAAATGTATCAATATATATATATATACACATATTTATACATCAATGTATGGTAATATGACGCCTCCTTCCGTACCTCTACTGGTGGGAAATGGAAATACATGGAAATATTTTGTGCAACTACCAAGGGGGAAGGTATCACACATGTATCCAAAGCAGTATCAACATATTTCAATACATCAATAGTCTTGGAGGTGGTCTCGGCATCAAAGCAATACTATTATCATGCAGTATTTGCTGAAAAGCACAGTCATCTGCTTTTAAGCAACTTGATGCAAATACCCACTGAAAGTCACTGAACAACTGCACAAAACAAATCAAACCTTTAAACATGTATTATATATATAAAGAGAACCAAAACAAATCCCATCCCTTGACTCTTGACCGTAACAATTCTAACCAATCAAAAGTCTCAACAAAAACATCCAAACCAATCAGTCCGTGCAACAACCTCAAGAGGAATCCCCAAAAGAGACCACACACTGTCCGACTCGGGTCATCCTGTATTGGTCATTGACCCTGGGATGGACCGAACGGACAGTTTGGCGACTTTGGTACGCCCCTCAAGGATCCACATCAAGCAAAGACCTCGAAAGGTACCCCCAAAAAAACTATCAAAGAGGGCTGGCAAAAAGTTCCAGAGGCAATCACCAAAATCATCGATGCATTTGAAAACCTATGTATTGTTATTGGTCCTGAGATGGGTCTGAAAGCTTTTAGTATTTTTGTGCCCTCTTGAAATGTCTCAAGGTTTCGTTGGTGCGGATTTGTCTTTTGGTACCCTTTCAAGAACGGTTTTGATTGAATTGGATTGGGTTGTGCAGGTTCTGGTGATAAGCAGCTCAGAAGCAGCTGGATGCGCTTATAAGTTACAAGCAAAAACCTTTTCAACTGGAAAAGTCTGTTGGTTGATGTAGAGGAGTTGACTCATGTTCACTCCTTACAAGCAGTCGAACACTTTTGTTACTGCATTTCGATCAAGCTGCATGAGTTCAGAAGATTGCAAAGGACAAATGTTGCTTTAGCAAAGTGTACATGGTAATGGCCTCTGAAGACACATGGCATAGCATGCCGTAAGAAAAAAACAAGCCTACTACAAAAAAAAGTACCACATTGGAACAAGGTGTCCATTCATGAACAAAAAAGCATTGACCAATAATATAGTAGGAAGAAAACATTCTGTGTTTATGTTTGAAACTTGTTCTTCCGGTTTAGGATGCAGGTTTTGATCTAGGACATTAGCACAAATTCATACTAAATGAAAACATAGTTTTCTATATATTGTAGATATGAAGTCTCCTGAAAAACTGAAAAATGAGTTCGCATTGCAACACGGTGCTGTTTGTGTGCTGAGACTTACAGTTAAGCAATAAAGTATTTATGATGCATTACGGTCTTGTATCAAGACCACAATTTTGTGCTGGGACTCATATGAAGGACATTTCATTCTAATCTTGATAAAGCGCTCTGGTTAGATGCGTCAATTTTGTTAACCCGTCTTATTACAGTGGTTTCAGAGTACGTAGATGGCACACTCCCCCAAAGGTGGTTTATATGGACCCCATCTAAAAGACATGTAGGGGTGACAGTGCCTTCTACTCTGAAACCACTGCAAATATGAAACATGTAATAAGGTTTGATTTGTTGTGCCGTGCTTTTGTTTCCTGGCATTGGTGTTCAATGTATATATATATATAATATTATATATATACATGGTTCTGAACTGCAACTTGCTGCATTGTGAATGTTATTAGGACAAGGTTTCTATATATCTTTGCCAAGCACCATATGATCTAAACACGGATAGTGGTCATATGGGGCTCATAGTGGGATGTGGAGCTTCTTGTGTGCTGAGGCTTTTGGTAGAGCAAGGCTCCTTTCATGATACAAAACCACAGTTTAGCGATGGGACTCATGTAAAGGACATATCTTTTACGAGCGTCCTATTCTGATCTAAGGGTGGAAAAGCGCTCAGATCAAAATAACCGCTTTGTTAATCCTTCTTATTCAATGTAATGTGAAGACTGTTTTTGTTGTTTTAGTTGCAGAAATTTATACTCTCGTAGTGAGAACTGGTGTGACAAACCCGCAGTTGTTCAACAAAGTTCCTGGTCCTAGTGGCCCTGACCTTGAGACCTGGGGCTGCGGACACGTGTATATATATATTATATATAATGGTACCACTCTCGGCAGCTATACTTTTGGGATGTATGCACATCACAGAATGACAACATACTAGTGAATGTTTAGAGTATGTGTCTGCATCAAACCAATGAGTATTAACATGAACAATATCATATGATCACCTTCTCTCATGACGACTTTGCTTATATATATAGTATTTTTATCATATAAATGAGCACATCCAATCTGCTTGTAAGCATTTGACAAATACTAGCTGAAAGCCTGAAAGCTATCCAAACCAATCAAAACCATCGACAAGTACACAAAAACAGTCCAAACCAATCAAGGCGTCCTCAGAGGGTGCCAAAATACTAACATACCAAGTTTATTCCACCTATGTATGTATTGGTTATCGGTCCTGAGATGGGCTTGAACACTTTGGTATTTTGGTACCTTCTCGAGGTTTTTGCAAGCACTCATTGGTTCGGCTTGGTTTTGACACCTTTCAATGTTATTGATTGGTTTTGATTTGGATTGGTTTGGTCTACGGATGGGCGTGAAAACTTTGGTATGTCATTGTCATATGTCGGTATCCAATGTATCCACGAGGTTTAGTTTTTGCCTGACCCTTTCAAGGTGTTTTAAGTTGTGATTGTTTCGGATTGGCTATATGCGTATCATCAAAGGGTTCTGGTGATACTTCTTATAAGCAGTTGGATTCAACAAAGTCAAGTCCTATAGTGGCCCGTACAACGTGCTGTCTTTCACTGCCGGGCAATTCCAGCAATTTGCGCCTTCTATAACCACGCAGGGTATACAAGACCACAATAGACCACATATCAGTTGTATTTACAGGCAGGATTCCAACCAAAAAACACTCTCTCATTCGAACACCGTCGCGGGACGCGCCTTCCCCGACCCGCCCTTCGACCGGACCTGCTGCTCCCGGGGCTCCCGGGCGCGGCCCAGCTCCGGCGACTTCAAGGACTCGCTTTGCCGGACGATGATGCCGCCCTTGTCGGCACCTCGAGCGGTCACCCGGCGGTCAGGTTTGGGTTGACCGGGCGAAGAAGGCGGTCGAAGCCGAGCTGAAGAGTGGGTTTTGGGGAGCCGTGAAAAGGTGGAGGGTGGCATTGGGGGAAGATACTGGGAGCCATGCAAGTGTCCACTTTTCGTTTGGTTGGTGAGGTGAAAACAAAGACTTTGCTCATCCAAGCAGCTTGCGCAAAATGTACAAACACGTTCTTGCGCCATGCAGCCGTGTGGGATCTCCACAATTTCACACTCATCCCTACATCCACGCAGTTTTTCACATCCGGAAAAAGAATGGGCATTCAGATGATTTGGATTTGCTGTCCAGGATGAGGCCGGGAAAACATGTAATATATAATACTATAGATGGATGCACGTGTCATGTCAATGACGTGGGTATGGGGATTCACCCATAGGAAAAGAAAGACAATCACCTGATCCGCAAAAATGAAAGGGAACTTGAACATTGAGGCACCTCCGGTGATCCTCCAGCGTGCCGTGCTCGCGGAAGCTGGAGCCGTGCTCGCAGCTGGAAGTGGCTCCGGGTCCTGGCGGTCCGTTTATGATGTGCGTTCATGAAGGCAAACATTTTAAAGGAGAGAATCACTTGAATTGTACAAATTGGCATGGTTGATCTAAGCTTGCCCTACTAACCAGCAGGTTTCTGTTTGATGTGGTTTCTAGACGCGAAGGACCCCAGGTGGATAGTGGTCAACTTTGGGGTGGCCTCCAACCAGCACACCCACATGGAACTCCTGCTAGATGAAGAACACTCTGTGCAATCATGTGCTATCTATAAATGGATGTGAATCGCATGCATGCAAGAGGCCATCCGTAGACTACTCTACGCGATTGGTGGGATTTGATTGCCCCCCTTGGCAGGTTCAATTCTAGTCATGTAATGTTTAGTCTCTGACGGTCGGACAGTGTACTAAGTATATGTACTGTGAAGCGCAATATGTATACTTCAGGTTGCCTCCGTTTGTAAGGTTCACGTGAGCCCCTGTGAGAAAAAGACTTCCTGATCCAACCACTTGGCGCGAAAAAGATCCCAGTAGCGTCTTTGCTCCTAGTAGTAGCGTCTTTGCTCCTAGTAGCGTCTTACACAGGTGGGTTTGCTTTACGCCCACAGATGCCAAATGCCGGTGCTGTGCAACGTATATACATTGATCCAATATGCCGACGATCTTCATTGCAAGCCCCCTTACCACCCTGATGGCCTTATCCCGATGCGATTCATGGTCCCTTCTATTCCGGTAGTTGAAGCGGTTTCTCTCACCTTTCACCAACGATTTCTCTATCGCCGTAACTTGAGAAAAGCTTGGAACCGGAATCACGACCTTGATGCAGTTTCCATTCCTGCAGATCCAAATTAGGAATTACATGATTCGAGCCCTTCGTGCCACGCGGACATTCGGTTTCACGTAGCTACACTTGTTTCATGCTGTACATTGCATCTTTTTGTTCATATCTTACACAAAGATATCACCCCAGACTCCTCGGCACCCACCAACACGGTGTAGGGCCGGAGGAAGCGTGCAGACATTGACCGCAACTTTTGTGAGTAATACGGCCAGGAGCCCCTGCGTCCTTGCTCCTAGTCCTAGTAGCGATGCCCTTTGCTCCTAGTAGCGTCCAACCGCGCCCCTCCACGGTTTACGTTTGTCGGCCCGAAGGTATCAAATCGCGAGGTAACCCCTCACGTTTCCTTTGCAGATCCAGTGCAGCACTGGGTCAGAAGGGTAGGCCTTCCATCTGCAAGCTGCTCGGGGACAGTCTTTGTGAACTCCACGCGCACTGACGCGGACTCCACACCGTTCCTCTGGCTCGGCACCGGCCATCGTCATCTGAGATTGCGCCTCGAGTGAAATGCAACCGGGATGTGGTGAACGCATGGATGGATACATAACAAGGCCCATACGGTCTATGATCTTGTTTATTGCCTGAAATGCCTATTGATTTAAGATAAGGTGCTTAGCAGGTTTCACCAAAAGCTATCCAAAGGTGAGTACTTACATACTTCACGAACCTGACAATTCAGAACGCCCATGGAAAACATGTGTGGGAGGTCATGGAAGAGTGGCCAAACTGAGGCTTTTCGAGGGTCAATATGGGGCAATGTAAACAATATGGATTAATATGGATATCTTGGGCAGCTGCAATCCCCACAAAGATCCACAAAAGTAACTGAAGCCAGCTGTAACTGTGCATGGGCCACAGCAGTGCGAATGAAAAACTGAAGCCGGGTCCAGTCTCTTCTCCAGGGACCATCACTGCAGGAAACCAATCACCAGTGATGGTGCGAGAAGAGACTGGACTGGGAGATCATCCACGCTGAATCAAGTCGAACCGCTACTATAAGTCCTTGCCTTCAGGTGTGGAGCCCCACCCAGCGACCTAGCGATCCTCTGCTTTGCGGTGTTCACGTGCGGCTGGGTCGGTGGAATCCGACGGGATGCTCGGACCGAGTTGTCGCGCGGGATGCTCGCTCCACGGCGAGCTCAGGGGAGCTCGGCCTCACGACTCGTAGGCCTTCGGGCTCAAGCTCCTTGGACTGCTTGAAGTTCTTGGTCACAATGAGCAGCGCTGGAATCGGAGTTTACAGCAGCTTTTGCCGATTGATCTGATTCTAAGACCTTGCATCAATCGTCTCCATTGGACAACTTGGAACACGTATTTGTGGAACTGAGCCGCCTTAGAAGAAACTTCAATGTCTCTTTTGCATTTTTTTGCGTCATCGTTCACGAGCTTTACTACTGTCACTTGACAAACGATGACAACCTAGTGACCTGATTCTCATCCTTCCTTAAGGCCTTGGACTTTAGAACTCCCACAGTCTCCAAACGGAGCCAGAGTGCTCAAACACCAGAAATTTATCCCCCTGCGCATGACCCCAAATACTGTAGACGATTGAGAAAACAACACCTGAAGACCGACAATGACTATATATAATTTGTGTATAAACACGTCGCGTATTATACAGTGCTGCTGTGTTTTTTTCAGAATCGATTCTCCTCGTCTCCCCTCTCGAAAAACACCAACCCGTCTTCCCCGGGCCTCTGCTACCTCAGGCCCCAGGTACTCGAAGTGATAGACCGCCTCCGCCGTTCCCCACCGTGACTCCGTGTCACAGGGTGACCGGCGAAGCGGCGAAGGGCTGCAGAGATGCCGAGAACTGGGGTCATGTGGATTTGTGGTCATGCCAGGAGCCCCTAGAAGCGTCCTTGCTCCTAGTAGCGATGCCCTTTGCTCCTACTAGCGTCCTTGTTTGCGGGGAAGAACACGAGAACTGGCCGTAGAAATGGATCACCACCTTCCTCTGCCATAGAACTGGCCATGTTCCTAGGTCTATTAATATGGTATTATTCACAGGTCCTTTTTGCTGCAATTCACTCGAGGCTTCCACCGCGGGATGTGTCGTTGACTACAGGTCTCAGCAGTTGACCACCTCTGGGAACTCCGCGGGGCGTGACCCACACCCAACGTAGGTGCTGAGAATAGCATGCTGCTTCTCGCTTAGCTGTTCTTTGCAAAAAAAACACCGGAGAACAGGAACAGCCAAGGTGTAAAGGGGCCTTGGAGGTTGAGAGCCCATGAACCACACCAAGACCATCCTGCCTGGGTGTCAAATCGACTACTGCACATGACTGACTACACCATTTTAGGCCTCTCCAGGGACACCCAGACAGGATGGCCCGGGTATGCTACACTCCCTGAAACAATCATGGAAGTGGATGGCATGGCCCCTGGAATCATGAAATCCTCCACAAGCAGGGGCGTGTGCACGAAACCATGTTAATGACTCAGAGAGTAATAACAACATTCAGTGCTGAACAAAAACAAGATCCCCTTCAACCCCCAAGTCCAGCTGCACAGCATATGGTCTTTTCTTCTTTCCCCCTGTTCCTTTCAACCTGAGACATCCCCCCCCCCAAACCGGTTCCGCACGATTTCGCACGAAAACTCCTCCGGCGAGGTCTGCCTCTTCCACCAGGTCTGAGCTCTTCAAGCTCCGACCGTCGCGGCCTGGGTGGTACCGGTGATGTCGGTACGACGGCCCCTGTGGTGAGATGGTGAGATGGTCAGATTCAGCAGGGATGGGATTGGAGTGAAACAGTTTCAGGTGGACCACGAAAACAAACTTCCCCAAAGTCTTGCTTGGCCGGTGCACCAAAAAGAGAATAGTAGAGCGCAGAATAAGTAAAACATGTGAAGAAAACATGGTGTTTTGTGTTGTAAGGATAGACAGGGGCAGCTACACAGCCAGGATTTGTGCGGCACCCAGTGAATCTACCCACAGGATGGACCTCATGTATACATACATGAATACTTGAAGTAGACTACGGTATCACAGTATTATCATAGTGTATATATATACAGACAATGCCAACACGTGATCTCCCCATCCGCCCACCATACACCAAAGTGGGCACTTTTCTCAGTTGGTCGTCGAGTCGCATCTCTGTTACCAACCGAATTCACGGTTGGCATCCAGTGATGCCAGGATTTGGTGCCCTTTTTGACTCGTTAGACCAACAGCCATGCAATTATGTCCCACTTGCGTCAGACGCGCAGGGTTCGTTGGACGAAACCGAAATTTCGCTGCCTGAAGTGCAGGGCTCAGGGTCAGCGGTGCGCGAGCGGGGAAAACACTTGACGCAGCGAAGGTGGATGGGTGCATTGTTCAAGCTTTCGCAAACCCGGTACTCGGCTTGGTTCCTGCCGAAGGGCCATCCGCACCGTGTACGCCACCGTTTTGGGTGTATATCTAACTTGTAGATCAAGGTGCAATGGTATCTGCCACCTCGAGACGTGTTAAAAATTGTGACACCTGGAAGATTCTCTTCCTGATGTGTGAGGTGTACGGAAGCTGCACAGTCTTCTAGCATATCCAGCTCCGGGGCCATAAAGGATGCTTTGCAGTCCTTAATGCGTCGTTGCAGGAGTTCAAGCTCTTCCCGAGCTTTGTGTACCGACATGGCAGCTGTGGACTCCAATGCCAGCATGTCGAGTTGTGCAAGCGGAGCGTCTTGGATATAATGCAGAAAGACTTCTGAGCCCCATCTTCTGAATAACTGGATTCTCCAGAGTTCGATGTTGTTTGTAGCCATGAATCTGGCCCCTGAGACACGAGCCGTGTGGCCTGTGAATGCTCTAGCACCATTCTGGTGCGTGATCGGGATTTCCAGTATCTTGGCTAAGGCTTCAAAGGTGTCTGCCCAACCCTTCTTAGTCGAACTGTGGCCATCTGCTGCCGGGAATATGTATTGATCCGGCCCAGGCGGAAGCTTGTTCAAATGTTCCACAGCGACGTGGTAGGGGCAGAGCTCTTTGCGGTGCAGAGAACAGGCACAGGTGTGAGACCGTGCCGCTCCTAAGGCTGCTTGGTCCGTTTTCGAGCTGGGCAGCCTCCAAGTCACTTTCTGGTTGGTCTCGTCGATCTCAATATGCTTGCGACGTGCTCGAGATGCTTCAATCTCTCGCAACAACCACCAGGAAGCTAGCACCGTGGCAGCGACAGGAAACTGAGGTCCACCATTGACAAGGGCCGGTTCGTAGTCGATCAGTGCCACTTTGTCCAAGGGTAGATGGGCGGCCTGTTTCGGGTGCCCAATACCTCGTTTGCAACTGCGCACTGCCGAGCGGTATGCTTGTTGGAGCTGGTCATCCCATGTGAATCCGAGAGCAATATGACAGTTCTTGGCGGTGTCTAGGTACAACTGGGCTGAACGATACCCTCCCCTCTTGAGTGCCCCCATGATCGTGAAAATCATGGATGGGTCGAGGTGGAATGGGTCCAGCCAGCCCGCGGTCTTGGCCAAAGTCGCCCAAAGCTTTTGCCTCGACGCCGTGGGGCCTTTTGTTGTTTCCGCCAGGACGTCTTTTGTTAGCTCCATTCGACACTGCTGCGGGTCTTGTGCCGCTGAGATAGCTGCCTCGGCTGACCCTCTGCCGTACGGCTTGGGCTCACCAGACCCTCGCTCTCTCGGGCCGCCGCCAGGAGTGGCGGGCGATGCAACCGATGCCGCGGAGGCCGGCTTCTCTGTGAGTGCTCGGGTCGCAGGCGCTAAGGCAAACCCTTCATGGAGTAGGGTTAGTCGCGGTCGAGTCGGCGGGGCGACGCCTGCTTGTGAGGCGAGTGAGCGTTTGAACGGCATGCTGCGGCGCCGTGTTCGCCTTGAACCGACTATCGGACCGCATCGCGACCGACCGAGGGTGGAGAGGTGGTTGGTGTCACAAACCTGTACTCCGCCCCCCCCGCTCGACCCCACGTGGTAGTCTTTTCCGATCTGGCCTCGGGTCATCTATTCGTACCGGACTAGCTTAGCCCTACCTTCCAGAAGCTGGGTTCGATCTCCACGCCAGAGCGTTCGACCGACCTCAGGTGATCTGGAAACTGCGGTGGCGATGGCGCCGTCTGTCGGGACAGAGCGTCGGCCTCTAAATTTGCCACCCCGGGGAGATGGCAGAGCCAATGAATCCGATAGGCCCTCAGCGCCTGATCGATTGCGAATTCTCTGGCCAGGATGTTCATCTGTGCGGAACTTGCGCTTCCTTTGGCCAGCATGCATAGCACGCCCATGTTGTCCGATCGGACTTTCACTGCTGCACTGTGTCCCAGTGCTGGCAGCCACAGCCGGAAGGCTACGAGCAAAGCCAACCCTTCCCACAACGTGTTGTACTTGGAGGATCCAGTCTGTGCCTTAAACCGGCTCAGGGCCTCCTGTGGGATGTCACTTGAAAAATATTTCACTGTCTCTCCACCGTTCTTCAAAGTGCCGCCAATGCCCCACGGGCTGGCGTCGGTGGTGATCTCAGCGGTGGTTGTCGGCTGATGGCTCTCCAGCACTCTGCTCAGCAGTGCCGGTCCGCCTTCTACCAAGGCCTGTATCCACTTCAAAGCAGGACGAATCCTCCTGGTGTGCACCAGCTTTCCAGTTGGCGGAGGTTTCTCCGAACCTTCATTCGCTGGTATGCGATCGCCCAAGGTCGCCCACAATGATGAAAGAAACGGGCGCAAGTGTGTTACCAGCCCAGCCACGAACGAGAGTGACCCAGCGTATGATCGGAGTTGTTTCTTACCGACCACTGGTCTCTTTAAAAGGAGTTCGGTGGCTTCTTTCAGCTTATCTACTTTGTCACCTGGTATGGTGACCGTGACTGTCTCCGCCTTGTCGTCCAGCACCAGCCTTGCTCCAACCCAATTGATTGCTTTTCCCCCTTCGGCTTTGGCCAACTTCACTGGGAAGCCGGTGACGGCGAACCAAAGCAGAAGTGCGGTGAGGTCCATGGCCGCTTTCTGTTGGTCCCCGGCCAGCACGAAGATGGGGTCGTCCACATAAATCTGGACGTTTGCTTCGGGTACGATTGCCGCACAGGACCGGCCCAGCCAGGCTGCGTAGCGGCCCCAGATGGTGGGCGAACTCCCAGCCCCAAACACTAAGGTGTCGAAGATGATGATCTCCATGTCACCTGTTGTACCATGCTTAGGACGGGCCGCCACTGTGAATCGCTTATCTGGTCCTGAGGGGATGTTCATGAAGGCATCTCGTATGTCTACTGCGGCCAGCCACGGGGTTTGCTCGTCCCGGTAGACTCGAATCGCTTGGATGGCCACGTCGAGCAACCGAGGGAGGATGATGCGTTCGCCCTGATGGCACCTTTGATTGGCCTTGGACTCTCTCAGGTCCCAGATGATTCGACTCTTCTTGACCCCCTGGGCATTGAACTTGGTGATCACGCCCAACTTGTTCAAGACGGGGGTGTGTCCCAGCTCCTTTGTGGCTGAATCCATGTCGCTTACCACATGACAGAACTTCCGGTCGATGTAGTCTTCGACCAAGGCGTTCAGGTCGTCTGCCTCTTCCTCGGCTGACTTGTAGTTCTGCCAACCTTCGATGGCCCGACACAAGTCTTGTTGTGCGACCTGGCCAGTCTCGGCTCGCGGCACTTCCGGGAAAATGCCTGCCGGTGGTATGCTTTCACTATACCCGAGTGGGGCTCCATGGTCCAGCCATTGGCTGAGGTGCTTGGTATCCGGGTCTTTGGTCGCGACCCCCCAGGCTTCTATGATGCCTGATTGGATCGGTGTGCTTGCCCGTGCTGTTCGTTGCCGAGGGCGTAGTGTGGTTCCCAATCCTTCTGCCACCTGTGCCCTCAGCCGGTCCACGACCTCTGCCGGGAACGGCTTTGCCACTCGACCGGTGAGTATGTCGTGACCGATGCCGGTGAGCTCTGGTGATGCGTCTTGGGCTGCCATCAAGAGTCTGCGGACGATGGCTCCGGGCTCTTTCATGTGTGGCATTCGCTGAACCGCAAGGTGAGGGTTGCGCATTCCACCCAAAGCCCGTCTGTTCTCTTCTTCTCTGGCCGTCGAGGGCTGGAGCGTTGAAGCATCAAGCACTACCGGAGTGTCTCAGAGGTTCTCGGTGGCGAGCTCCTCCTTCTTCCATGTTTCACTCACATTCTTGTGGATGGCCACTGCAAGTATCCTGCTCAAAAGAGGTGTATACTCACCCTGAGCTTTGGATGCCCGCTGCATCTTGCCACCCACCTCCTCCCACCTCTGCACCGTGGACTTGTGGGCGGCCTGGAATGTAGAACCATCGTCACGCTTCCACGTCTTCTTCTCGTGGTTGCATCTCTTGTCTTTCAAGGCCGATAAGTCCATTCCCTCGATGCACAGCTGTGTGGGTTTGGTAGTGTCCAGGCCAGTGACGCACTGATCGAACCTGACGATGCTGACTCCGTCCCAGGTGTGTATGTCCCTGATCCTCGGCATGTGCCACAGCGAGGGTTTGTCTGGTGGATGGTCGGGGTTCTCCAATCCCCACGGCTTCTTCTTCTGGTGCATCTTCAGGGCCACTTTGTAGGACCGATGTACGAGGATGTTGGAGTCCCGCAGTTGAGCCGCTTCCGCCTTCGTGGGATCTGGGATGCCCGTGATCGACGCGAGTGTGCGAATCACCCTGGGCCCCGGAGGCTTCTCCCGTAATGGTGAGAAAGTCCCACATGGCGTTGCGATCCATCCAGCATCGAAGTAGCCCTCGTCCAGATCTTTCTTGACCTCCTCCCACGTTGCGTCGTTCACCAAGTCGGTAGGCGTGGGGAGCACGATGTCCAGGCTGCAAACGAGCCAACCGAGTCGGGCCATTTGGTGGGCGAGATCGCCTTCCCTTGTTCTTCCGGAAAAGACGATTAGCATCCGCGGCTTCTTGCTTACGCTGCCTACGGTGCTGGTCCACCACCCGTATGTCCTCGGAGGCTCTCTCAGCGCGACCACTGGGCGGAGCTTCTGGCTCTGATCCCCCTGAGACCCGGAGGTAGGAAGGGATGTTGCCGCCGGCGGTCGATCTGCTTTGGTGCTCGATCCCGAGGCTTGGCCATGAGGTGGCTCCCCGGAGGAATCGGCCTCGACATCTTCATACTCGTCTTCTTTGCGGCTGGCTTCCACCTCCTTTCGTTGCTTCTTTGTAGGAGGCTCTGCTGGTGACTTGGGCGCGGATCTGGTGGCTGGTTTGCTTTTGGCAGTGGTGCCAGGCTTTGAGGTTTCAGCTTTTCCCTGGCTAGTTGGCGGAGTGCCCCTAGCCTCTTTCTTGGGTCAGTCCTTCTTTCCTCCAGTGCATGCAATCGCTTGATGGGGCCCCAAGCATTTGTTGCACTGATGAGATCTTTTGGACTTGCACTTTCCCTGAGCCTGTTTGGTGCCACATTTATCGCCGTTGTAAAGGCGACAGATCTCTACTCCTCTTCGGTTGTGGGAGTAGGTGCCATCGGATCCCCGTTTGGATTTGTCTTCACCTTTGTAGGTCCGATTGGTGCGCTGACCCTTGCGCCGCTTGGAGTCACCTTCCTGCTGATCCTCTTCATCAGCAGCCCCCGGCGAACGTTTGGCTCTCGCCAGGAAGAGAGTCGTTGGTGTGGTGAGCTCCTTGTTCCAGAACTCCGTGTCCTTGATCGCGGCGGCGTAGCATGCACTCCATGGTGTGGCTGCCACATAGCCCAACGCCGGGTTGGCATTGAGCTCTCGCCTCAAGCGTTCTAGTTGCTCTGACCGCATCCTGCTGTCGGCCTTGCAAATGAATGGCCAGGCCTCCTCTCCGAACTGTGTGACGAAGCCTCGAATGTGCTCGGCGTAGGCGTCCAGTCGTTCGGCCTCAGCGGCCTCCAACAACAGAAGCGCCGTTCTGTAGCACCGCCAAGCCTTGTACCAATCGTAAAAGGAGCTCGGCCCCGGCTGTTCTTTGCGAGCCCACTCCCCTGTGGAGACGTTGAGCGTGTAGCTCTGAAACGTCTGGCGGCGAAGTAGCCGTTGCCCATGCGGCCCGAAGATCGAGAAATCCGCATAGGGGACTGCAGTGGCCGCCAGGACTTGACTCAGTGCGGCCAGTTGGTCTCGGGAGACATCGGCATCTACACTGGGGAAGTCACCGAAGCGATTGCGGTATCGCTCGTACATGCCTTGGACTTCAGCGTCTGTGAGGGGCTGAATCTCGGCATCGAGCGTTGGGTCGAGCACAGCACTGAGCTTGAGCTTTCTGGCCTGCGGCGGTGGTGGACCCACGCCAAGCGCGCCCCCCCCCGGCTGGCGGAAAAGGGGCAGGCGCTACTGCCGGGGCAGCTGGCACAACCACGTCACCTGGCCTGTCCACCGGCCTTCCTGACCTGAGGCAGCAAACGCGCCGGAGCGACTCCAGCCTTGCTTCTTCGACCGGAGTCAATCCTCGAGCAGGTGGCCTAGGGTCGCCGGCATCTTGGACTTGCAAGTTGTTCACGACCCGATCCCATGTAGGTCGAGGGATGAGCGCGATCTCGCGGACCCTTGCAGGCTGACCTAAGGCCGCAAGAACGGCATCCGACAACGGGCCATCCACACCTGACCAGGCCCGGGCTTCAGCCAAATTGTTGATTGCCTGGAGCTCGTCTTCGGTGGGGTCCATCTGTCAAGGCGGGTCCCTCGTGCAAGAGTGGAGCTCCCGGAGTTGTGGACCTCCTCCTTGAAGTCCTTGCACCTGTGGGTCGGGAACCCTCCGTGTTGCGCAAACTGTAGCGCTTGTACCCGTTGAAGGCCAAGCCCACCTTGCGGCGCTTGTTGACGAATCTGATCGCCTTGTTTGTAAGTCGTTCCCAGGCCACCAGAGCACCCTCGTTGGCCGTACTGGTCCGAGTAGGTGTCCGACAACACACCCAACCTAGCACGAAGCCAACGGCAAGAGTCCCTATCCACACTCCACCGAGGAGCCACACCAGGAAGCCAATTCCCGAGGTGTCCTCCGGCAAAGCGTAGACCGCGACTTCCGTGCTCATGGCCCGCTTGCGGTCCGACTCACTAGAGCCAAAATGGCACGCATGAAAGGGGAACCTCAACCACACTCAGGCATTGTCAACCCCACATTACATGTGTTCCATCTACAATTATATACATGTAGCCTAGAAGGACAACTGATGACAACTACACAAATACAAGAACAAATTGATGTAGTTGTTATATGTTGTTATACACTCCTTCTGTCGATAAAAGACATGTGATGAATTTGATTGAAACTGTTCAGCTTGTTTCACTGGAATCTGAAACATGAATGAATATTGTCTTCTTTTGCAACGAGAAACAGTGCAGAATGACGGGCTTCATGATAAACAAGAGACCAACAATGCGAGGTGTCGTGGTATTATTGGCTGACATCACGTGATTCTATCGGATCCAGTCCAACCATCCACAGGGCTCTTCGGAACTCGAAGCGCGGGCTTTATGTCTTCCTCACAAGCATCAGTCTTTGAACGCCCTGGCATCCTTAGCCCGAAGTACTTTATGGTTTGATACCCTTGAACCGTGCACGGAGATTTTCGGTTATTCTCCTGGTAAACATTAGCAATTACTATATACAATTGCAAATCTGTGTGTGTTGTCCGAAACAAGACACACACAGTTTGCGTCGTCTCCACGATGCTGAAAGGCATTACGGATCATTACGGTGTTCTGTGCTGCTTCACGTGGTGTAATTGCTTCTTCCAAGTCCTTGACGGAAAGAGTCATTGCTTGCGCTGCTTGCGCCACAAATAGTATCAAATAATCGCACATTGCAACCATGATATGAGCAAAACAGAGAGTATGGGATTCTAAAACAATGCATGTTTAAGGGTGAGCGAATTATTATAGAGCCTGACTGATCTACTTGCTGAGTTCCAGTCAGGCAATAGTCACTGCAGGGCCGTGCTCATTCCAAGAAATGGTGTCTAGACATCCCCAATGATATTCTAAGCACAAAAATTGTGATTAGCCATGTCAATGTGTAGCCAAGAAGTCGCACACTTACCAACAGCTGATGAATGCTGCGAGGCATCTCCGCCTGATTGAGGTCATGCGGACCAATGGATACCAACAGATACCAACGGTCTCTCTCCAAGACTGTGTTGACACAGCCGACACCTGATGTATCCTGATGCAAAGAGAGACCTGATCAAGGTGTGGACACCGGACTGATCTCTTCCATCCTGTCGCATCCTCATCCAGGATGCCAGCTCCGTTGAAAAAGGGCAAAAAAAAGCACGGCCGACGGGACGGCCATCGAGAAATAGCTTCATGGTGTGACACAAATAAACATTCAAACAGTAACATGCGAATCAATGCGTGTCGCCATGGGTCCACAGCTGCAGAAAGGCCGCAGACTCGGGTCTCCCGGCGCAGCTCGAACCACGAAGCATGCTCCGGTGCCGAGGAGGTCATCTTTCCTTCGGAAAACCACCGGGGGAAACCGGCGAACACACATGAAAACACCCAGGCCCTGAGGTGATTCCAAAGTGTTGGAAAGGGACTGCCATATCTTCACGACCTATTGCTGGAGATTGGAGGGACACAAACACATTGGCACCGAAGCGCAAGCTTCGGTGCTCCAAACGAAGCAGGAACCGAAGCCAAAACGTTGAAGCTGCGAAAAGCACGCCTCGTCTAGGGCGAAGACTCGAAAACGCCTTTTTTTTTGGGACTTCTGGAGGATCAACTTCTCCATACTTCTCCAAGGGGAACACTTCTCCAAACCCACTTGGGTGGAATAGGATCACCATGGACCCATATGAACCCTGTCTGACTGTCTGACACTCAGAAACCAGCGCTGTCTTACTTAGGTCCTAAATACTTCATGTAGTGGTTGAGTGATGTTGCGTAGTTGTCACCTACATTGACTCTTTGGAACGCAGAACGCTTCCTGTTGGTTATTGTCATCAATTTTACGATGCTTTGATATCTTTAGTCCATCTTTGGAAGTTTGCTGTTTCTACCTACTGTAACTCTAGCCTAGTTCTATCCAATCATCCTGGCCAAGCGTCTCTTCAGATCCAAAATCGAGGCATTGATCTCCAGGTGGAACTCATGTGTCCACTCCTCTGTCCAATGGATCAACTGCAAGAATCATGATCGCAAACTCAAAAAAGAGTTCAAACACCACCTCCCTTTTAGGTGCGCCCCGACCATCACCTCATCATGCAGTTCCTGGTCGGCACCTATATCGGAATACATTATATATATGACCATGTATAACCATATATATATATATAACAGTGATTGCTAATAGGGATGTTACGGGGATGTTCATCAAAGACCGTTTTCTGTTTTCCGAAACACTTACATCAAGAAAGGATTGTTGCTGTCCTTTAGTCTTAGCAAATGACTGCAACCTCTGCCTCCGCCTTGGGCCCGGGCGCTTCGCATCAAACCAGCAAGAACGACCGTTGAGGGAGATTAGATCTTGGATGCAAAGGAAGGACCTTCGCCACAAAGTGTCTTCACTCTCAAGGCAAAACCATAGATCGTTCGTTTCGCTACACCAAGTACGTAACTACAAAAAGAACATCTCGATGTTCGCGCACACAGCTCTTCTTCATCGCTCCTGCTCTTCATATTTGAAGGCCACCGTGGCCGTCGGCATCGCCCACGTCACACGGTGCGACGGGGCGGGACACGACAAACGCCACTCGGACCGTTTGATGCTGCGGTGTTGGCGAATCAACCCGCGTCACTCCAGGGGGGATCCAAGAGCTTGCGGTTGGTTAAGTCATTTGAGTCAGAAATAGTCATGAACATATGTCTGAGAAACCCAAAAGCAAACATTCACCAACATGTTTGTTTATGGTGGATCACCATAAATCGGATAGATGGAGGGAATGTCAAACTGTCATTCTCAGTGTCTCCTCTAACAGGCCTATAGAGGAGGCATCTATATAATGCAGTCTTTGGCCAGGGTGGATGGACGATTTCCCTATTATTATCTATTTTCACACCCAAAGATCAGTTCAAAAGAAAACACTGGGGATCTCCAGCAATGTGGGAAGCTTTGACGAATGGACGAGGTGCAAATGTGCAGGTTCCACAGTCTTCTGGACCAAGCCTGAGGTCTTTAAAGCTTGGGCAGGTCTGGCAGTCAGGTCTAATCATCTAATCAACAGGATTGGTTTGGTCTTTACGGAATTGCTCCCATGTGTTCCTTGTCAGGTCTGCACGCCCTTCCGGAAACACACGACCGGCCACCCAACAGGAACATCTGGTGCCGGAGCTCGAGCTTCGGGACTTGGAGCTGGGATCGAACTCTTCCCCAAGCGTTTTGGTGGACTACCTTGAGACAAAGCCAAACCGCTAAATTGGGTGCTCTTCAACACCCAATGTCCGCCCCCGGCTTCATAGGCTCCAAATCCGTGAAATACGACGTAAACCTGAGATCTAAGCAATATTTGACCTGGCCGGAGTTGTCGTCTTTTTTTGCTTGCCAACTGCATGTCTGAATAGGAAATATGTATCTAATATGTACAAACTTACCTCACTCACATCGTCTCACATCTCAGCAGCTTCTCATTTCACCTGGCGTGCGAATAGCCCGATTCACCTCTTTGCAATGAAAACCGTAGGGGAATGACTATGAAAACCATTGAAAACCCTTCCACTTCCTTTCGGCAACCAAGATTTCTTGAGAGTAGGTGCTCTTTGTGATTCTATTCGCATGCCGCACTTGAGCTAGTACTGCCGTACGGAACAGGGCCATGACATATTTGTCAAGATCAAATTCAGCGGAGCGAGAAGTCAAGCAAAGCACCTACCACGTGTACACGCATGCTACTCTCTCTAGCAAACAAAACTAATTGAGGATGTGTACTGCCATTCAACATCCTGATCTCAATGATGACAGGGCTGAGGCTTTTGCTACACATATTAAAATATGCATATATATATATATAGTACTGTATAAGTCTGTATAATACTGTATATATATAATCTGGCCACCTATTAAAAACAAAAAAACACACGCCGCCCCCTATTAAGAGAAACTCGGTCGCATCTTTTTTAATAGGGGGTCCCTGAAATCGAGGTGGTCCAAAAATCCAAAATAGGGTCAGTGGAAGGATCCTTGAATCATTGATGAACTCATTGCAGATCCAATGCTGATTTCGTGGCAGGTGCATTACTTTGTGGACCTTGAAGTCTAGATTTCGTGGCAGGTGCAGTAGTCTGTTGACCTTGCAGTGCAGATTTCGTGGCAGGTGCAGTAGTCTGTTGACCGAGAAGTGGGGCAAAAGGATATCGACCTGCCCAGAGCCAGACAGAGCCAGACAGTCCGCTTGACAGCAGAAACGAGAGGCAAACGGGGAGGGACAGCCAGCGGAGAGTCAGCAACGCAACATGGTCGATTTTGAGGGTGTATTGGGACCTATTTTGAGGGAGTTTTGGGGGAACATTTAAAAAAAACTGCCCCCAAAATCGACCATGTTGGTAGTTTAGTAGCGGATTGAAAGGGCGGTAATTTAAAAACAAATATAGACCGTATTTTGGGTTTCGGACGTGGTGTTTTATTAATTGGGGAAGCTTTTTTAAATAGGTACTCGGGATTATACATATTTTGTAATATATCTGCTAGCTTCCAAGTTCCAGTGAGAGAAAACTGCTGCACCCGGTTTGAGTATATAGCATATTTTGGCGAATGTGTTTGCTGCGAGACTGCTTCAACGTCTTTGACTGCTAGAGTAGTTGGAGTGCTTCAATTGAAGAATCTGAACTGAATCTGAGTTGCAGGGTTGGTCTTGTATGGTCTAGTGCCTGGCAGGAGCTGCCAGTCTGGCAGTCGGAGTCAATCTCTTGCGCAGAACAGGGTGGTCTTCCGATCGATGTCCTCCTCATATGCAACTTCCAAGCATTAGCATACATCGATCTGACCTGTCTATTGTGCCAGATCTTTGATCGAAGCCCTGCCACACTTTTCTGGATGGAATCTGGGTGGACAACTGTGAGGTCTACGAACAATAGACATCTGCTCAAGACTTCACTGGCCACACAGACTCGGTGACATAAAAGGTCCCAGTACCTTGTCACAGATTAAGTTTCGGTACCTTCGCTACCTGAAATCTTGAGAGCATTGAGTGGTGGAAGGCTCTGCCACCACGAGCTAGCTGATCAGGAGGAATGGCCAAAGATTCCGCTTGTTCTGTTCAGCATCAGCAAAGGTCGTGGATCCCAGCCAGGTCGGGGGACAGCTGATCGGAGAATCCGGAATCTGCAGGAAACTCTCGAACTTGTTTTGAATTCCTCCGATGACATGGTCGCCCTCCAAGTTGGATCAGTGTACAAGGTCAGAGTGATCCATGATCTGTTAAGACTGTTAAGCCTAACGATGATATATGCACCAGGTAGTTGCAGACTGGAACAGGGTCCTGAAGATCCTGAGATCGGGTCGAGATCGGGCAACAGCTTTTGGCTTGGGGTGTCGTGGAAACCACGAACACTCTACACCCACAGACCAATCAGAACAATTAAACATGCACAAATATGTCCGAGGACCATAGCAAAATAGTATTAAATGATCAATTGTTGTCATGTACTGTATATATATAATACAATGATATATAGTGGATTCTTCTTCTCCATGCAAGTGAAAGCCAACGCCTGAAGAGAATAGCAACATACATCGATGTCATCCCGGATCCCCTACCAAACTCCAACCCTCCGACCACAACCCTCTAACACCGAGCTACACCACGCTACGCATCCATCCTCCGCGCCTGCCAGAGACGTAGGGAGATCGTGGCCGTCGAAGCGCAAAGGCCTCGGGATCTCGGGTTCGGGTCGGCGGCGAGTTCTCGCTGGCCAGCTCGCCGGCAAAAACGCTGGCCACTTGGGCAGAAACGTGCTGGTTGGGTTTTGAAAGGGCAAGACACTGCACCGGTGAGTTCTATGGGGACCTTGGCTCTCAGCGAATTCCCCTCCAAGAATACAGCCTTGAAGAGTACTGTGTCTAGATGCCCAAAAACAAAAAACACCTGGTGCTAACTGTACATCAAAGGGCTCCGCACCTGTTGCCGACGGTCCGATAAATGGGTTGAGCTTGGCTATTCCAAGCTGAATAGCCAGAAGAGGGTCGACAATGACAATGATGGTAATGTTAGTGTTGATTACATAGACATAGACAAAACCTTCATAGGACTCCAATTGCATCGTTGTTTTTAGCATTCAGTTGAAATTGTATGAACAAATCACCGAGGTCGAAACGAGCCCGCCGGACAAGACCGCGTAGGCCATGGTGCAAGCGGTCAAGGAGAGGCCCGCCTAGGTGCTTTGGTGGCTCAACTTCAACTGCTTGTTAAGCTCGAGGAGCAATAATGGGGCTATGGAGAACTCTCACCCCCTTGCTCTCTGCCTAAAAACCGACTCTTTTCCAGTGAGAATGCACCAAACACTGTGCTAAGAGGCATCGCCGTAAAGAAATCAGATCATGGCGGGTATCTTTACGCCGGTCTGGGAGTTGCATTTTTCGTAAATGCTTCAAGAGTTGTGAGACGTTGAAGAATTCGATTGCATCTGAAATTGAAGTCCTCAACATCTACCGGTCATACGGGGTTCCAACATGTTGCAACAGCCCAGGCGGCTGCTTTGCATCATCCTACTCACTAGAATCTGAAGCCGGAGACGTCTGAAGCCTCCTGCTCGCAGAAAAGGACTAACACACTCCATGTTGAAAGGTGCATGCCTGGTCACAAGTTGCACTTGCCTAGGTTATTGAACACGAGATGCCAATGTACAACATGGAGCACTTAAAACGAGGTGCCAATGACTTCCACTCTCAAGAACCACTCCACCTCACGAAGTGCCGTCTATACTACGGCCGTCTATTGCACTGAACCGTCTTCTGCACTGAACCCGAAACGAGGGTTGGCCACACGAAGAGATGGGAGCAACAGTAAACTACATTACCAGCTTCCTTGACCGTGCTGGAGCAACCCCAGGTCTCCAACAAAATACCAACGAAACAAAGGACAGGTATGTGGATTCGCAGGGAAGACACACATTCTTGTACACACCAGATTGTCAATCATGTTGAGAACCGCGGTCGTCAAACATGCCATGTTCATGGTTCTTGAGCCTCTAAGGCGTAAGCTCACTCAAGTGATCTCAAGGGCTATATGTCCATGCAATGTTTCAGTCTGGAGAGCTTGCTCGTGCTTCCTGCAAAAAATGGTGATTGGATTATGGATAAAACCAATCCAACCAAAACAATCACCCATGACATGTCCGTCCAGATCGCCCCGGCAAATTGCGGCCGAACATTACCGGGTCTGAACATGTCCAAGACGTTGGAACTGGTCGACCAAAACCAACATAGTCCACCTAGTCTTGTCTTTGAGAAACACCGACACTCAGTGACAACGAGAAAAACCCGAAGCTCGGAACGCACTGGCCTTCAAGTTGTACTCATTGGCCACCCTGTTCAGATCATCATCGTTGACCTCAAGACATCGCCGGTTCGCCGGTATGGAAGGGACAACGCGCTTCATCCAAACAATCCAAATCCAAAAGGACAAAATCTATACTGATATAAAACCCTGTGGGTCCTCTGGGTCTTTTGTTGAGCCAAATCCACTTTTGGATCTTGTAGAATCTGTTCTTCGTACTGCCATCCATGGTGAATTCTCCCACGACAAGGGACAGATTGGCGCCAAATTCACATGCCTAAGCAGATCTACTGGAGTTTCGGTTGATCCATGACAATGAATTTCTCTACATACCTATTCAATTGACCATACCTACACATCCTACATCTTCCGTCGTGCGTCTTTTGTTAAGTCGTAAGCTGCGGAAAACAAAGCTCTTTTTGGGCAAGCTGCGGAAAAACTCTCTAGTGCGGCACTGCTTGGTTTTGGGGGAGAATTGTACATGATTCATACATGACCCATGATCCGTACTTAAGCGGTCACCCGGAGCGGGGCCGTCTCCAGCTGTGGATCTGCAGCGCTCCGACGCAATTAGGTGCCCGACCCATCGGAGATACCTCGAAGGGATGAATGACATGTCATGGCGTAGACTGGGCTTCTGCTCGAGTGTGGCAAGCACAGCGAAATCGCTCATTCCACGAAGTAATTAGAACCTTGGGAAACCACTATGCTGACTCTATGCTGACTGGGAAACCACTATCCTGCATGGTTGATGCTAGTGGGATGTCTGATTCAGGGATCAAAAACTGCCAGATCCATCTGCAGCCTGAGTTGCCGAGGATGATGCACTGAAAGGAGCTGATAGGTGGCTTCAGCTTTCCTGCTGGCCTGTTGTGTGCTCCACCGCGAGCACGGAAGCGGTCGAGCGGAGCCAATGGGAGCCGGGCGCCCCTTGTTACAATGTCCCGGAGCCAACAGCGCATCAAAATGAGGCACTGTACCAATATTCAGGATCGGTTGGAAATCAACACCTGCATATTCCCTTCCAATTTGGCTACTGCCTGATCAGCCTGTGGTAAAGAATCATTTGTATACACACATTGATGTGTGTATGTATGTGTATTATATACACACGAGCGGCAATATTTTTTCATTACTAAAATCACACACAGTATCCATGTAGGGGCGCTATCTCGTTTACACTACTTAAGTAGGAGGTCATGTCACAGTATCTCCTTCAGACTATAGTACTCTATAGTAGCAAATCACAGTAAAAGCTTGTTGCAGACACAATCGGTGGTCGACATCCAGTGAAACCGTTTGAGGGCGACATCCACGAAAGCGATGAGCAAATCGCCTTGGAAAACTCATCATAGCTGCTACCAGAGAAGAAGCCCTCGTTGTCGAAGATCACGATACCACCTTTCGCCTGCGAAGCATCGATACGAACAAACTGCGAAGCATCGAGACGAACGTGGATGGCACCAGCTGTTTTGGTGAAAAGAAGGGCCATCCAAGTCATCCAAGGGCCATGCCATCCACTGGAGGGCGTATCCCAACAGGCAATGGTCGTATTGGTCGTACGCTAGGGATGTTGGACCACTGCGTTTTTATCACATTGTACATAGCCATAGCGTTGGAAGGTTCAGCGAAGACTTGCGTGTGGGTGGTCAAGAACAACGACCAGTGAACTACATAGATTTGTTGCGAAACGCAATAAGCATAGTGGATGGTGGAACTAAAACGCACCTTACCTCTTCTGCGAGAAGTCTTGACTTATTGGCTCTATGGCTGTAGACACTGGAGTCTAGCAAGCACAGTTGAAAGTAACTCATACAGTACAGGCACAATGAACTGGATCTACAGTGCTACAGAAATGTGCATAGTACACCATAGCACTTTGCCACCCCAAACTTCTCCACCAAGGGTACAGCAGAATTTCTCCACCAACGCAACAACCTGACACGGTAGGGATCGGTAAGGACTTGAAAGATGTTGTGGGCACTGACCGCTGACCCTAAGATGGGCACTCCTGGCCGGACAGGTCGTGGGGCGTTTTCAGGTCAGTACCTTCGTTGGAGGTGGGACCGGTCGTTGGAGAGCACCGCCGGTTTGACCAGCCACGGCCTCGTGATGGCGTGTGGCCACCCATTTCGACCGCAAATCTCTGTGAAACTTCGAGCCAATGTTTTTCGTCGAGCGAGTCCAGCACCAACCCCTTCCCACCCTTCGTGTTGGAATTGGGCCATCAGGAGTTTTGTGGATGCGGGTACTTTCTGAGGTGCACGGTGCCTACCTGTTCCTACATCTATATATATATATATACAATATACAGTAGTGGTTATATACTGTAGTGACTCGATGCGAGAGTGGATGATGGTGGTTCAGAACACGATTTGAACGATTTGGGATGCGTTGAGATAGGATGGAACAAATCTGAATCTTGCCTCAGTTATGTCGACTCTACAGGCAGGATCAACCAGGACTTCACCTGCCTTGGAGTCTTTGGAGTCATCGCACCAGAAGTCGCCTGAAAAACACAACGGCATCATATGGCATCGTATTCAGGCGGAGGCGGTCGAATGTCCATGGACAAAGTCAGCCGGCCGACTGCCCATTGTGATCCATTGTGGGAGTCTAGCTTCACTGCTAAAGATATCAAATGATATCAACATTTTGGCACCCGGCCCTTTTGCAATGGACCTCAACAACTGCCAAAACCGACCCATTTTCCTGGGAATTGTCGGATGAACGTGAACAACAAATCACAACTCGAGTCCGTGCACCCTCTTCTGGTACAGCCCAATAGGGGACATAAGGGGACGGCGGATCAGCCGCGGACCACCACCACCACCGCCAACAACAACGGCAACAACAACACCTGATGATAGGTGCTCAATGGTGCTTATGTGTTCTGCTGCTTGGGTTGTGGTTTAATGCATGGATCAAGGTGTCAATTTTTGGGAACTGTTGCTTCATGGAACTGCTGACGTCCATCTCTACTATTTCAATCACGACATGTCTGGATGGTTCCAATATCCCGTCACCCAGTTTGGGATGAAAGAACCACCCAAAACAGACTTCAACGTCGCTAGGGGTGTCTATGAATCAGAGGCAACGGGTATCCATAAATCAATGAAGCATACAAAAACACACCCTTGTGAGCTCTGCGAAAGATGTAATTATGATTAAACCCCTAAATGACAAGGCTATTACTTAGTTCATCTTGGCAGGTTTCTTGCGATGCTCCTATGGCTCTGGTTCTGCCTTCCATGTCTCCCAAACAGGTCACCTTTGTCACCACCCATAGGACCCAGAGGCAACTGACCTCTCCAAGCAACATATCCTAATGGGGTGCTTATGATAATGCAAACTACTGTACGTTTGTAGCATCTGGTGGCTGTGTGGCCATTCATCTTCCAATGACTGGCTTTGCACACCCACATGGGACGACCTGCAGCAACTCCCCCACCTGATGCTGAACAGCACCCAGTGCCCACAGCCCAGTACTGCAGGCGGCGCGTGTGGGGACAGTGTCCGCACAGCGGTCCGCTCTTCCGCTCTGCGCTCCAGGCGCGCTGTGAGGGGTTGGTCGGGACTCAAAGTTGGACATGGAAACCGAGAACAGGTGCTTCGGGTGGCACCTATTGTATGCCTGAAAAGGGGTCAAATAGGAACGTGAAAGCAGCGCACCTTTGCAACACATACATATATTTGTTCATGCTGGAGGAATGGAGGATTTCACAATTTTTGAAGCTCACGGTGCCGAAAGATCTGAAAAACCCTTTGTCCAGTCTACAACATGCATGCATACATGGTCTCAGGCATGCAACCCCTATGGCTGGTCGAAGAGGCCACCCTTGTGGAGCAGCAGTGCCCAACCTTTCCGAGTCAGCCAAAGTTTGGGCCCCGTAGCTACAGTCCCATCTGTGGGAAAGACGGGAAAGCAAATCCTGTTGAGGCGCAGCTACGACCTGAGAATCTGGGAATCCGGGAAACGAGACAGGACTCAACCTGGATCATCCTGGATCTACAGATTGCAAATGCATGCCAGCATAGCCACAAAGACAATGTTGAGATGCCTTGCCCACGTGAATGCCGTCTGCTTCAGCTTCGGAAAGCACGCATCTTAATGAAATTCAAACCTATGCAGCGGTCGCTGACTATGGATGATTCAAGGACCCCGCTGTTCCTGGGGAGCTAATATTGAAACAGAATACCGCAGCATCAAAAGCTCTATATCGTGGGGCAACAACCGAGATCCACAGTCCAAAGATTTTGAAGGTGTGTTCTTCCAAGCGATGTCTCCAGCGTGCAGTTGTACTAAATTTGCTTGGAGGACTCTGGCACAAAGGCTTGCCTGACGAGGCAAGGTAGACAAACTGCCCAAGTGTGCACTTCTTGCCCTCAAATCTGTGAAAACTTTCGGGACCAGGCTTGGGTCGGAGTCCTAAGATTCTAAAGCTTTGTGATTCAATTTCCAGACAAACAATGAGCGGTCGAAATGCATTTGTTACTAAACTCAACATAGCATCGTTTGAAGGCCTATCTCACTTCATTAGACTACTTTGGTAGGAGATCGCATGTTGTTCTGACTACTTTAGTAGCACATCACATCACACATATCATATCTCCATCTCACTTTTTGAGGGATCTCATGTGCATGCACACATTGCCGTTGGACAAACAAATAATGCATGCCGCAAACTACTCTAGCAAAGCGCAATTAAGTGTGATTATTATTGATTATTCATTCAATATTGTTCATACATATCATATAGTGTCTTCCTTCTTCAAATGTGCAGTGCACCTACTCGCTATCACCTTTACTGTGCTCAAAACCGTAACCACCTGCCAACCTTCAGAATAATTTCACCAGGGCCGACAAAATAACACTTCAGGCCGTTGAGCCACTTCAGGCATTGAGCCAACGGGATTGGATATGTTCATGGGTTTGCCTTTAGATAAACTGAAGCGACACCATTGTTGCCAGGCCTGTTGTTCAGGATCATACACTGAATTGTATTATTGAGTTAGTTATCTTAAGCTTGATTCGGCTATTCTGTGGCAGTTGTAACCTATTTTGGCAATATGGATCGAATCAACCTATGTGATGTTGTAACAGCAATATACTACCAGACTTTTACTTAGAACTTAGAACGTATTTTGAATTGTTTCTTTTGATGACCCGGGATAATTGAGTTGGGTTCTATTATGTTCTAAGTGTGTGCGTTTGTCCGTTAATACAAAGGATGGCCGGTCAGGTCACAGGGTCCAACAGCCAAAAAATCGTTGCTACGCCCGGGCTCTCCTGGATCTCGACTGCATTGCCGCTGTCCCGCACAGGAGCAACACCTGTCGACCACCAGCAACGACTGGCACGTAATGTCTGATCGCTTCCAGTGTCAGTGGGATACGTGCTATTCTGCAAACATGGTCTTTGTATCCCCCGAATGGAAGTGACCCACATGAGATGAATCGCCAGCCCCATTCCCAGTTGTTCTCGGTTTGTGAGGTCAGCATTTAGGTCCCCAGAGCTGTCATTCATGAAAAAAATCTAAACAAGGCTCATGATGCACTAACAGTACATTACTCTGGTTTCCAACTTGCAAAACATGTGGAAATGCGTGGTGAGCGGCACATCAATGCCCATGAATACAAACATGACAAGTGGCGCAAAGTCAGGAATTGTTCAGGTATGCATTTACTCTAGTTGGCAAATAATACATGGCGCACAAACGTGCACTTTGGGGGGGGGCGGCGCCATCTACTACGGAACGGAATCGGTGTCCGTGAGCGTCCGATCGGGAAAAAAACACAATTTTTCACGGTCTTAGTAGATGGCGTTGGTTTTAGGAGCGTTTTGGATGTAGAGGTGTTGTGTTCGTCCTGGTTCAACCTGGTTCATAGTGTTTCGAAGATGCTTCAGATGATATCTTTACACTGTAAATCTTCACACTGCAGTATCAATTGAATTGGCATTGAACCGCATGTATTCCATGTGCTTGGTCTTACTGCAATCTTCATGGAAACCCAACACAACCCAACACACAGTGGAAACCCTGAAATAGTAGATGGCGCGTCATTTTGGCTGCTCTCATTTTTTTGTCCTTTTCTAGTGCACACAACTAGCTGCTGCGCCATCTTCCTTACCCCGTGAATTTTATGTACAGGGGTCCCGGGAGCCATCTATTAAACAGAAGCCTGCGCGACATGTTGCCTCAAAATAGTGTATATACTTCCACCAGCCTGGAGTCAACCTGACTAAGATCTCAACATGCAACGTTTTCTGCCAGGCCCGAACAGCTGCCACGTGAAAACTCAGACAAAGTGGAATGATTTTCCAAGATTGCGTCATGCTTTCGATCATCCTCCCATCTCCACACCAGGTCCCCGTGCAGAACACGGAACCACCTGCGCAAAGTGTCTGGACCTCTTTCTGTGTGTTGAACTCCTTAAGTTGATTCAACAAAACTGTTTTTTATCCCAAGCGGTTGCTGTTGGGGTTCTCTCTTAGGACAAAAAAGCAGCTGGCCACAGTCTTTGGCCGCGCCGGTGATTGGCCGTGTCCGGGCGTTGTCCTCTTGTTGTCCTCTTCTTGTCCTTCTTCTGGTGTGCAGCTCGGCCCCTGCTACCAGCCGGTCTCCAGACCTTGTCCTCCTCTTATCCTCTTTTTTCATCCCCTTATTCAATGTGTCCCCCAGGATTTTTCATTTTAACACGAGTAGGTGTTTATGAAATGAAAAAGCAAATCATTTCCTTACGAAATGAAGAACCATGTGCTTTTACAACATGAAGAACCATGTTCCAACTACATGTTGCAACGCTAGGTCCCTAACAAGTGTGTCTTGAAAGCATGACAGAGCCATAGGCAAAGAGCGTATTTATTGTATAATGGAACCAGGTTCCAACGATCCTGTCTTTAGCCGTCCTTCATTGGTGGTTCAGCAATTTGGGAGCCTTATATCAATACTTTATCTGCACTAATTTTGGAACCAGGCGCTTTTTGATTGCCAAAGCTTTGTTCTCCTCTAATTTTTGCTGTAGTTTATTGTTTTTGTTGCTTTTTTGCCCGGTGAGATTTGAAATGTCAGGACTCTTTGCCAGAAATCGTTTGGCCTGCGCTGCATTTTGAACTCTATTTGTGACATGCAAAGAGAATTCAGCATGAAATGCATGTATGCTATGAACAGCAGTACATCTCATTGATGGCCGATATGGAATGATGTTTTCGTTTGTCTCTCTCCATCCCATCACAAGATTTATACAATGCATCTTTTTACTAGAATGACGGTGCCACCTCCCAAAATATCTTTTATACAATGAAAGGACCAGGTTCAGAAGGTAGGTTCAGAAGGTCACAGCTTGTTCAGGCATGTTCAAGCGCTTCTGACACATATGGGTTTTTGTAAAAATAATCCTGTATGTGAGTACCTGCATGAAATCAACAAACCTGCCCCAATGGGTGTTTATGAAATGATTGTCGGTTTCGTCATGTCATAAGCGCTAGGTCACTCAATTCATATCATTCTTCTGCCTTTCCTCTTGTCTTCTTCTTGTCCTCCTGTTGTCCTCTTGTTGACACCAGCTTGGCCGCGGCTGCCAGCCAGCCTCCAGACCTTGTCCTCCTGGAGTCCTCTTCTTGTCCTTTGTCTTTTCCTCTTCTTGTCCTTCCGTTGCCCTCTTCTTGCTTTTGTTGTCCCCTTGTTGTCCTCCTGCTGGTGTCCAGATGGCAGCATGTAAACATGACACCATTACAGCGCGCGCGTGCGCGCTGAGCAGCGCCCCCCAACGCAATCAAAGGGTCCAATGGGAAAAAGCAATTGCGTGGCACTATAGGGGGAAGCACCAGCCGCTAAGCGCGAAGACCACAGTACCGCAGCATGGCCACCTAGCAGCCTGTCAGCATGTAAGCATGACAAAATGCGAGCGTGCGTGCACTACAAAGCAGCGAGGCACTAGCAAGACAATTGCAGAAAGACAGCGACGTCCCCTCCTTGTCCTCTTCTTGCAGGGTTCTCTCGTAGAAAAAAGAAGCTGGCCAGAGTGTCAGGCCGCGCCGGCTTGCCCCGTCTCTCCTCTTGTCACAATCTGTTCGGCCCTGTCCTCCTCGTGTACTCCTCCCATCGCCGTCTTGTCTTTCTCTTGTGCTCTCTTCTTCTTCTCTTGTCCTCCTCTTGGTGTCCCCTCATGTTGCCCTGTTGTATTTTGGCGTTGTCCGGTCACGACTTGTCCTTCTTTTCTCCTCTTGGTGTGTTAGTGTTGTTCTCCTTCCACCATCCTTTGTCCTCTGTTGTCCTCCTCATGTCCTCCTCTGATCTTTCTGTTGTCCTGCTGCGGTCGTGTTGTTTACATTGTTTTCCGAGGCAGCGGCTGCGGCTGGGGCTTGGCTGGCCCACCATCACAACAGCAACAATTCTTGCCGACTAAGTTGTTTGGGGTCTATGCTGGTAAAATGTGTGTATATAAGTATCAATATATATATATATATATATTTATAGTTATAATATTTAACTCCTCACACAAGAGAACCATGCAACAAAGGGTGTTTTCTGGCTCCTCCTTGCCTTGGGGGTTGGACAATTTGATGGACTCTGTGATTTTGAAAAAAGAAACCGTCGTGATCCGTCGTGTTTCTTTTGAAAGCACTGACACTAGAGGACCAGTCAAACAAATGTTGAGGCTTGGTTTTGACAGCAAGCATCCATCTGACCCAAATCTGCTATCGATTTCAAAGGGTTGCCTATTAGAAGATATAGGGGGTCGAATGATTCGCTTACTTATTGGGTCTACAAAGCACACCTTTGGAACTGGTGGTGGAAAAACGTCTTGACACGGGCGTCAGGGCCTAGCCAGGTCCAACTAAAGGTTGAGGTTTTGGAACTTGGGTAGGGTTTGAAATGGGGCGTCTCACTGACTGACTGGTTTCTGTGGAACCTCACCAGCAGATTCCCTGTACGGTGTTTACATGTGTTTACCAACATAAATTTTGGGTGGTCAATGCTGCAAACACCATGGAAATAGACAACGGCAATAAGGACTGACGACGACCATGACGACGACAACAGCTGGAATAACCACAGCAACAACAACTAAAGAAAAAACAATGCAACCAACCAACCAAAAAGACAAACAAACAAACAAACAAACAACCAAACAAACAAAAAAATAAACAAAACAAAACAAAAAACACCAGCAGCTGCAACAGCCACAGTCAGAAGAACAGGTTTGCTAAGCACACATTCCTTTGGCCTCCCAAAACAATTGCGCGGAGAAAACCTCCTATATATATACACAAAGAAACATACAGCAGCCTCCCAGAGTGGATTATGGACCACAAACCACGTCCGATCGCAAGCTCCAAAACGCTCGTCGGCGCCCCCGACGTTCCGTGATGTAGGAGACGGAGTGAGGTCGATCTACCTCGCGCCGGACGGGTGGATCGATGAACACCAGATTGGAAGACCGATCTTCGGCATGTCCGGGTTCCAGGAGTGATCTTCGGGCGTTGGAAGCCTGAAGGTGAGAGTGAAATGTCGACACATATATATATATACCTGTCAGAGATCCAGGAAGAAGCAGTTGATTGATTTGTTCAATAAACAAAGTTGATGGAACAAGTCCTGTACCACCTCACTGAATAAACGCCAAACCAATGTTGTATACATGTGTTTAAGGCAGGAGCTTGCTGAAGCGCCGCCCTTGGAAATCACAGTGGTTCCTTTGAGGGTGACCTTGCACCATGTGACAAGCGAGAGTCATTGTGTGGCTTATGAAAACAGGCTTGAAGTTGAGAGGCGTAAGTGCCAGCAACGGGGACTAGGAAAGTGTCAGGCGTACTTCTGGACCCTTGGAGAACTGAATTTGAGGAGTCGTTGCAGTTGCACTCTTTCCATGCTCCTTGACACATTTGGCAATTCTACAATCGCAACCCCAGTCAACACAGCACTTGTCAAAAACATCCGAGTTGTCTTCAGCAGCGACCCTCAATCTATCATCTAACAAGTAACATGCGTGTCAAACAAACCTCAGTGCTCTTTTTGCTGAGCTCTCTGTGTGTGTGTGTGCGTGTCACTTGAGCCTTTGAAGGCGAATGTCGCCTCAACACATGTGTCATCATGTGTCTATCAGAATGTCGTTGCTCGCAAGCAACAGCCCACGATCCCCCACACCATGCTGCGAGCCCGCTATGGGACGATTGAAGAGGGTTGAACCCTGGAGGTTTTGTCGATACCCCACACATCACAACCGAAGTCAATGTCTTGGCAGGGTTTGCTCCAAACCTGGAAAACGTCTAGGCTCAGCCAAGTGCACACCACCAGACCTCGCAAATCACCTCTGTAGCGTGAAACACACCGAACACATCCTTCGGTGTTTCAGGCACATCAGCGGCACGTGGCCTGACATGTCAGACGTACATCAAAGGTGGTGCAATAATTTGTCCTTCAACAATAAAGATGTGTGGTCTTTGACCTCCAATGATCTAGCTTCTTGAGACTTGAGGCCAGGGGAGGTGAACGAAAGCTAGCCACTAATCTCATGAACCACCATGGGGATTCTTCCACAATGCCTTTTTTGGGTATTGGCTGATGAAGATGATGAGGATGATGAGTATGAGGCACTTTGGCTTGGAAGGGGGGAGGGGGTGAAGAAGCGGCTTTGCATTGTCTGGGTGGTAGGTATGAGAAGAACCATTGTAAGTACCATCGCGCTTGGCTCATCAGCTCATCAGCTTGATCAGAACATCAGCCCATAAGCAGCAATGATTGGTGCCATGGGTGCATGGGTGCATTGGTCATTGGCATGAGTGGCATTGGTGTCATGATGAGTGGCCTGGTGATATACATGAACAAGATGAAGGATGAGATCCTCCAATCAGTGGATGGGCTTCATGAGAGCATGGGCACAATTGAGCTGAGGTTGGACTACAATTGGCCAAAATGAGGCACTTGAAGATGAGGCTCATTCAGTTCAGGGCATGGGTGGTGAACTCATGGGATGATGAGAAGACCCCATGCACAGTGGAGAAGGATTGTTTTGATGAGGTCATGGCTGCTCTATGAGCATACAGTAGCACCATGAGCTGCATTGGCAATAGAGGTGATCCCACGCCAACAGTGGAAGTTGAACTCCCGGAGGGGTGGGGTCCATAACCTTGAATAATTCAAGGATTTGAGGTCTTTGAGGCTACCAAGAGTGACTCCAGCTAGCTGAGGCTAACTTCTTGAGATCTGAAGGCGCCAAAATGTTGACTCTCACTGCTCACTGGCCTCGCAAGCACTCAAGCTCGCACTCAACATTGTGTTTCAGGGCCATAATGCGAAAAATCGGGCTGTCTCAGTGTTCGAACGTCTACGACACCCGATTCGAAGAAACAAACGCAGTGGCATTCCCGGAAATATACCGAGGTGACGCGAAAAGTGACAAGCAAAAAGGAAGTGAGGTGAGTTTCCCCGCGGATTCAGGGGAAACGCGCACATGATATCCCCAATGCATTGGATGTCACCCACCCCACCAGTCGGCGCTGGAGACCGTCCGCGCGTCCGACTGAGCTTCTGGGCGTAGGCCGCGTCGGTGAAAATCAACTTTCCCGCGTCGGCGACCTAACATGAACACTTGAAATGATCCAGAAGCAGTGTGTGGGTGTGTATCAGGAAGACCTCCTAGGCGTTCCGACCTCCGACCCTGTGGAAAAAGGGAAATAGACCAGTCTACAGTCTACCCATTATTGGTTGGGAGTCTCCCTACAAAAATACACACCGTCCTTCGGACGCGACATCATCCAACCACCTTCTCACAGGGTAGCTGGAAATAAAGTCACCCATCCATCTTTCACCAGGCACCTAGATGCTAACCAATACCTATATACACTATGATTTAGACTAACTACCACTAGAACAAATCCTGTACAGTAGTTACAATGTTACAAGTTTTAGGGTTTTAGGGTTTGCACTGTTGTTCGCATGGAGGCAAACTTTTGGTGAAAAATGGTGAAAGTATCCTCTGATGTTACGATCTCTCTGCAATCGAATCGCCAAAACTTTCGGATGAATCCTATCAATTGTTCTTCCAACATGTTCCTCAAAATCCATTCGTGTCAGTCAGATTCCCACGATTCGTCCAGCGAAACAAACGCAAAGCGACCCCAAGCTGCGCGTCTGGCGCAGCTTGAGCGCCAACCAGGCAGGACTGACATGCAGCAAGCGGTCGACTCCATGTGCCTCTGAAGGCCGGGTAGCCCACGGGGCTCCGTGTGATCCAACGGTAGAACCAACGGTCGCTTCGGGGCTCCACGCCGCTTCGGCCGACTGCGAGGCGAGCACGTCCGTGTAGACCCTGGATGGGGAGACAACATCGGAGGGGATCAACGTACATAGGATGACGCAGGGTGTTTTCCTACAATGTTCTAACTGAAACTATGCCAAATGCATGCCTTTTGGCTGGTCTTATAGATGAAACGGCAAACATGGTGCGCCATTGAAAGATCTAGGGTATAAGATGGTATACGGGTTTGATGGCATATTTGGTGCCTTTTTCAAACACCCTCTTGCGCGTGGTGATTCAAACATGCACCTCTTGCGATTGAAACAAATCTAAAACGGTCTGCCAGGTGACAGGTCCAAACCGGTGCTTTCTGTCTTGTTTACACAAGGGATGGTTTTAATCCGGTTGTGAGTAATCTCCACAGGATCGATGAAAGTGCAACGCTTGACCTGCAAAACTTTTCACCTATGCACTCCGGGTTACAGGTTCAAATTTAAATTGTTGTGCAAGTCAAAGCATGGGAGTCAGGCTTTGGCAGCGCAAAGAAAACCTGTTCCGGGCCCTTCTATCTGAATGACCCTGTGTTGGAGCCGTACCCACATGCGCCCAGCGGCCCACCTTGCGTTGCTGTAGAACTGCGGGTAGATGGCGTACCTGTGCCGACTTGGACTACATTCCGCGCTCTGCGGGCACTTCGGCACTTCTCGCATAAAAATGCGTCTGTGTGAATAGTAATAACATTATAGTATTATATAATATTACATAAATGGATGCCGCCACCCATCCCATTCCCATCTCCCAGATGCCTCATCCGTCAGGTCTTCCCTCCATCCGTCAGTATTCTGTTCACGTCTTGACTTTGCGGCTCTGAACAAAATCTCGGACAGCAAGCTGCATTGTCAACCACTTCCCACCTGAACAGGTTCCCAACCGTTTGCCCACTCGGCCTCCGTCCCTCTGGAGATCTACTAATCCCGAGTGCCTTTTAAAAAAACCGTTCCAATTAACAAACACCATGTCCGAAGCCCAAAATGCAGTTTACATTTAGTTATTTAATTCCCACCCTTTCAAGCCGCTACTAAACTACCAACATGGTCGATTATTGTAGTTTTTTAAAAGGTAGGTTCCAAAAGCAACCGTAACTGCCCGTAACTGCTCACCTCTGTCCACCCTGTGTATCCACCATGACACGCCGCGTTTACACCAGCGGGTTTTCCTTCCCCAAATGGCACGGACTCACGCAAACGCACTTGCCACCGAGGTCGCGCAAAACCGCATGGCACAAGCTTTAGTTGTTAGTCTAATGAAGAATCAGTATTCTAATAAAGGTTTTTTGTAGGGGAAAAGGAAGACCCTTCGATCTGGAGGTTTATTGAATTTTTGATACGAAATTAATAAAGGATGTTATATAACAATTTCCTGGGTGACTTTTTGGTTTTGAAGCTGTTCCCACATGACCCTATTTTGGACCACCCCGATTTCTTCAGGGACCCCCTATTAAAAAACGCGACCGAGTTTTTCTTAATAGGGGTGGCCGTGTTTTTCATAGGTGGACAGGATTATTGCTGTAAGACGACAGCAAAACAACGTAGGTCTCTCTGAAACCTCGGGCTTTTCACTAAAAAGACATAGACATAGCCGTAGACTGTTGATTATAAAACCCACCCTAATAATGCAAAGGGTTTACAATCCAACATTGGGTTTTGAATAATCAACATGCAACCTGTCAAGCTGTCAAGTCAGAAACCAAGCTACCAACCACCTCCACTGACTACACTCACTCAGCCACTGCTCCCCAAAAAAGCGACCGCTTCTTCAGCCACCCCAGATCCTCCCAGCGCACACATCATAGACGTACAAGCCGCCCACGGAACCGGCCGCTACGGCCACCGGGAGAAGCATGGAGGTGGGCAGGAAAGTGCGGCCTGCGGCAACCGGGAGAGCGAGGCCATTGACCGAAGAGAAACTCGGACTCTCCCGAGTGAACGGGGCGTGCAACAATTGGGTGTTCTGAAGCGCATATATATATATATATTACATATAATACGTACAAAGAAAATTGCTTGGACACATGTTTCTTTTTGGGGGGAGGCAGGGGTACGACATATAGGTGTATTATATATAATATATACAATAAAAACATAACAAAATAGGGCATGGGTTTGCCGTAAGAGCCGGCACCTGTACAGTGAAAACCTATATGTAGACAGGAATGGGCCAGAATGAGCCCCCGTGGCCATACAAAGACCGAAATGTGTCTCAGTATTTCGAGCATTGTGGAATGTGAAACCAGACCTTAGGCATACACCATCTACTCGCCAAGATTTGCATGGCTGTTCTATATAGTGGTTTTGGGATCCAAAAATATGCATCAATGGCTCTTCAAGAATCCTGGCCGATGGACATGAGCACCTGATAAGCCTGATATCGTTTTCCCCGAGTAGAATCAGTGCAATCTGGATGCGCAAGACATCGACATCGATGCTTTTTGTGAGACATTGAACACTTGCGCTGTTCCATGGCTTTCCATGATCTTGCCACGAGAACATCCCAACAAAAATGGGGATGTGTCTATAACAACTCTCTGAGCTTGTCCTCCCATCCTGCCTTCTTTCCTGAAAGCGAAGAGCCTCAGATAGGGGACACAAATGCATACTAACAGACAGGCACTGTGCTAAAGGAGTGGTTGTTTCAATGCATAAGCAAATTTCAATGACCCCATGATAGCCCGGCGCCGGAAAATCAGAACGACGCGCCCGGTGGATTTCCGAAAACACGCCCGGACGTTGGGTCTATGCCAAAACAGCTGAGCTGGCATAGGCCTTTTTGACCCTCCAGGCTCTTACCCGTTGCCCAAATCCCAGAACAGAAGATCCAAAAACATTTGGAACACTAATAGTTTGGTGTCACCATCGTGGATGGTTGTGACGATGATACATGATCAATGATGCGACGACGACGAGAATGATGATGATGCTGAGACAAGAAAGAGATGTCACTCAGTGGGAAATAGAAAGGCGTGCCCTGCTCTATGAATGTTACCCCGAAAAGTTTGGTTTAGCCAATCCTTGTCTCGACAACAAGAAGCTGCAATCATGCTGAGGTTGTGGAATTCAGCTGTGTGGATGGGAGTTGCAACCAATGTGTGGGACTATCAAACATATTCAAACATATAGTCATATACAGTCAACAATGTACAAGTCCGCATAGGCATGGTATTTGCCTCCCTTCATAAATGATGTCCAAATTGCACAACTCTTGTTAGTCTAGTCATGTTGACCTCAAGTGCAACTGGCTTTGACCAATCTTGGAGGTCATCTATATACATCACAATGAAATCATTCACGCACACAGAGAGGCCCGTGCACACCGGCGATCATGAAGAAGATGCCGGATAAGATCACGCAAATGCTCGGCCTCAAATGAGGGGTTCGTTGGAATCCTGGGAGATCCTGAGAGTGTGGGACAAATGGGGCCACAAAAATGTGTTGCGTGGGTGAACCTTTTGCCAGATTTGTTCATCACTCACAAGTACTTTCATAAGGTCGTCCTAAGCAAAACACCAGCTGATTGGTAGCAGCAACAAGTCAAAAACCTTTCATATGCAGCACCCTTTCCTCGACGAGATTGCAAGCTGGTACACTAGCGAACCCAGGGGATTAATACCCTGGTAGGTTCGGTAGAGCACCCATCCTAGAAATTTTGCTGGGCAAAACAATTGTATAATGGCAGTTCATGTTTCCCCGATTGAGACTTTGTGTTTGGTTGCTCAAGTTATCAAACGCTGGTGTAGTTTGGAGGCTTGGTCATTCTGGTACAGTTGGATGGAGAGAACCAAGCACGCACTGATTAGAAGTAACAATACAGGACTATCAACGGAAGGGTCGCACCCTCATGGTTGTGCTAAAAGAGCAAACAACCCTTCCAACACTATCGTCAAATATTGAGGTTATGTGACAAATTCAGCATACTGCTAAAACTTGACAATAACATCACTTGCAACGTGAACTTGTTGCTTAGATCAAGGCCTTACCTTAGCAAACATGCTTCTTGTACAACAGTGGGACATGCCAGCGGCAGTGGGGACATGTGACATAGCACACCAAGTGCAAACGACAAAGTTTCAGCATAATGTGACTTTAAACACGACTACCAATCGAGTCTTCGACTCTGCATCACACACTCTGTGGTGTACACTTTGTCATATTTTGCAAAGCTGCAAGCAGCCAGTGTTGTCAGCTTTACAACCGATCACTTTTGCAGTAACCGACTGGCGGTGACCTGAGGGCCCTTGATGACTATTCAGATTCACATGCTCTTCCGGCCTGAAACACCAAGTAATGTTGACCTATATGATTTTTAAAGGGACCCAAAATAAAGTTAGCAAAGTTCCGCACTGATTAATAACCCCCCCTAAATACAGTTGGCACATTTCAAAAAAACATAGCAATGACAAAAATAGATAGTAGTTAAAACAAACAACTTTAAAACAATAAAACATAATATAGTAACTAAAACCCAAAAGAACAAAATAAACAAAATAATCACAATAATAAATAATAACAAATATATATATATATCAAAATATATTTATATACTCAAAACACAAAAGTAATGTTGAAAAAAACAAGTAATAATAGTAACAAAGAACAATAAAGTAGACACTAATAACAATAGTAACCTTAACAAAAAAAACATACCCTAAATATGGCTAAGAAATTTTGCTGATGCGAACCACATTCAAAATAAAGTTTACCCTAAATAAAGCTCAAACATTTTTTTTCACTGAAAACACCATAAACTTTGTTGAGTTAGTATGCAGTTCCTTTCATTGCTTTGTCAACAGGTTGCTTCTTTGGAATCCTTCTTTACTAAGTCCTACTCATTTCACAACTTTGTATCATCAAACTTCAAAACCTTCTGACAACAATTCTTTATAAACCCCTTATTGAAAACATAAACTTGAAAAATGATCAAAACTGCTCTGGAAAGGGCTCTCTCCATGAAGGCACCAAACCCTAAATACAGTGTACCCTAAATAAAGCTAAACAATTCCAATTCAAATTCAATTCCACTTCAATTGAATTTAACTTTAATGCACATGTCTAATTCAATTCTGAGTAAATAAATTCAAACCAATCCTAATTCAATTCCAATTCAATTCTAATTCATTTCTAATTCAATGCCAGTTCAATTCTAATTCAATTCCAATTCAATATGTCTAATTCAATTCAAATTCAATTCAAATTAATGTGAATACTACTGCATTTTTTTACTAATCATTTTAATAAGGGGTCATTTCATTTCTAATTAATCCAAATTCTCTTTTCCCTTTCATTCTAATTTGCGTTTTGGTAAGGGATCATTTCATGTCTAATTTAAATTCCTTCTTGGAATCTGGGATTAACTTTATTTACAGTCGGGTAAACCAAGATTTCAACATTTGCAACCACCGTTTATGAATCAAAGGTCAACGTTAAGCTTTGGATTCAAGTAATGCTAGGCCAGCACAGAATGCACTAAGCAACCTTGGTAAGTCTTAAAGGCTCATCTGCACATAGCCAGTGTACAACCGAACGTATTTGAGCGTTGGAACGACACAGCGCCAGCGTTCGCGCGTTCCGTTCGTTCCAACGTGCGGCAAGGCGGCAAGGTACGCTACTGAACCATGGGCGTGCGGCAAGGCTGTCGCTGTCCAAAGTTCTACAAATGGCTGGGCAAACATGTTAAACCTGTGCCCAACAAGCGTTGCGCAAATCACTGTTTAACATGCTGGCCCAATTCTGACATGCACAGGTCGCCTAGCCTCCATTTGGTATTCTTGTTATTTTCTAATCTATAAAGTATAAATATCTTATTATATCGTATTATATACAACAAACAACAAAAATGTGGAAATCTATTTAAAATTTGGAGACCTCCCATAGACCCTGGAAGGAGGAAACTAGACCCAAACCCATCTGTTTGGGGGTCTCACGATCCAAATACAAACCTATGAACTGTTCAGCTTTCAACCTGAGGAAGTAGCGCGACCGATCCATTTGCTAAACCACCCCACCGAGTAAGTCCAACCGATCCGCCGATCCTCCGTGGCTTTTGCCGCTGGGGAGTGGTGCTCGGCGATGCTGGGCCACCCTGGCAGTTTCATGAATCCAAAGGCGTAGAAGAACCTGACCCAAGAGATCGAAGCGCACCAGTCGAGCACGGTGCGCGTTCTCTGGTCTATGAAACACGAAACAGCCGGACAGTTGATGAGATGATGAAAGGCACCTCAACTTGTTGAAACATGCTGAAACACAAATCACCAGGTGCGAAGGGTGAGATGGGAAGAACCATGAAGAACGATTCACGAAGATCTTTCGGAGATCGTTTCTTCTTTCGTCGACTGGACACCTCAGTTCGATACACCTGCCGCTCTGTTCAAAACTGAGGAACATGGGAACAAGCAATGCCGCAGCCCATTTGAATCCCCTACAAGTCCATGACCCAGTGAAACCTGGTCGACTTGACCGACAGTTACTCGTGTTTGTGACCACGGCCGTGGACCGGTCCGACCGATCCGAGATCCAAGGGGGAGGAGCTTCTGGGAGAACCCACTTCAGGTCTTCAGGTGTCAAAACATGAGTTCACATGGACAACTGGACCTGGGCCGCCTGAGCCCAGTCGGAAGAAGTACTTAGAACATCTAGCTGACCAGGTTGGTTTCTGTCCGAGATTCCCTAAGGCTCCAAAGTCAATTTCTGAGAAAGTACACTGGAAGGGTTGATTTCAGTCCAATAGTCATTATTCCCAAGGCCTAAGGCTCCAACTTCCTGAGAAGTACACTGGGAGGGTTTGGGACAGTTGGAGGGCCCACCACCCCCGGTGTCGCGGGGATTCACACTGTTGTTGTTCATCGACAAATTTACAGGCCACCTAACGTGCCCTAGCAATACTAGCCCAAATTCAAACATCCAAACAAAGACCAATTATAGCTCTTTGTCAACAAAATTCCTATACAACACAATCTGCACTCCTAAGATTCTGCCGCATGGTGATTTCCAACAACAAAGCGACTGTTTTTTTTTGTTTTTTTTTTTTTTGCGGTCTCCGGGAGACAACTATCTACTTGGCACGGCTTGAGCCTTGAGCCATGAAGAAGCAAACACAATAGAAAGCCAAGGAAACAACTTCAAACACCTGAATAACATGGGTGCACAGGTTCTGGTCTGAGGATCCGCTGCTACCCCATCTGAGAAGGATGGATTTGGAGTTTGGAGGTGCAAAGACAAAAAGAACATGCTTGATTTGGGTGTCAAGAGCTGCAGCCAGCCCCTCATCTGTTCCAAGAAGCAATAGGAAGAGGAAGACGGCGAATTGTGGTGCCCACAAAGCCTACAGCTCCGGCGCGTCCGCACGTCTTCACCTACGTCCCACGCGCTGGGGAAATAGGCAAATAAGCAAATTTACAGTGGTTTCAGAGTAAATGGCACTGTCACCAAAAAATGTCTTTTAGTTCTTGGACTCCATATAATCCACCTAACTCTGAAACCACTGTAGCGGATTTCTGGACCCTTGATGACCCTGATGCCTAGCGGAAACCAAGGCATACCTGGGCCAGGCGGATTGGTTTTCGCCTCACTTATCTCGGATAGCTGCCTGGATGAACCGGATGCAGCCGGACCCTTCATCGGCCGTACCGTGACTAAACCTACTACTACCAATATGATCCCGAGAACCAACTCCCGATCTTTGGAATGTCATTCATCTAAAGTCTGAATATATATAATATATATAATATATCAGTCTTGATCCGTCTACAAGATTTTACAAACTTCAATAATTAATCCATATATGACAGTCCCCGCGGCACCACTCTACTATGGGAAACATTCTATTCCACTAAGACAAGCCTTCTGGGTCTGCACAACAGTGACAGCTCACAACCCAAGGTTGAGTGGGTCTTATGGGACACTGGAACACACTATGGTGACCGGCATAACAGTGTTCATCTTCTCTGGCTCGCTCGCAACTTCTTTGCAATCATTTAAGTTTCACGAACTCGTCTGTGTCACTGGCTTTGTCACCGCAGGGGCCACCTAAGGGAACAACGTGGCTCGACAAACGTCAACTCCGCCTGAGGCGCCGCACCCAGAATTCCCCCTGCCTCAGAGAGGCAAACAAAGAGCCACCAGGCCTCGAGTGGGGTGGCAGCTGTCGGATGAACCGCAGGACATCCCCTGCCGTGCCGAAAATTGATAAATTAACTAATTGCTGAGTTCACCCTGCTGTGCTGGGATGTTTGAACTGACCGGAAGATCCGGAAGGTCCCTGTCTGAAGGAGAGATCCGATGTCACCCATCTGGATGGTGACCCTGTCGAGCCAGATGGGTTTGTCACAAGACGCTGTGAGATCTTTTTCTTCATTTTGGCCTTGTCCCGACCACCGACGGAACTTTGGTTGGAGCTTTTAGAACTGCGAGCTCGACCGACGATGACAATCAAACTGGCCTCGAAGGGAGGCTGCTTCGACTTGACGGAAAAGTGGCTGTGCAATTGGAATTGCAACAGGAAAATCACTAGACCAAGTCCTGTAGACCATGCTCAGGGTAGTTTCTCCCAAGGAAATGGCACTGTCGAGGTTTTGCCCGAAAGCAAGCACGAGGAATCAACAACTCCGTTGGAACATGGACCCCCATGTTCCTGATGTGAAAGGAAGATCATTTTCGCAGGGTCCATATAGTAGTAGTGATCCCCAAATAGATAGAAACGGTTTCCAATACATATCTTCTGTGGGGATCTACTTTTCTAATCTTTCTATCTATTTGGGGGTCTGTATGGGGTATCAGTTTCAGTTTCAATCTCTGAACTCGATCCGCCCAAACTTTGGCCCCCGGGCTTCGGCTTGGCTGTGAAGGTCCCGCCATTCATGCCTAGACAAAACAGCGGGGAAGCTATACCTTGACAAAGAAACCTCTGGGCAGCCACAGGCTGTTCCTGGGCTTTTGCATCAACACATTGCTAAAAGGCATCATGGCTGAACAACTTTCAGCAGAGTCATGGAAGCCATCACACGCAAAAGAAGGGTGTCAAAGGGCTTCCGCTTTCCTACGCATTCCTCCTCATGATCGACACTATTCCCGCTGCGGCTGCGGTGTTCTTGTCTGATTCGGTCCCTCCTTTTCGATAGGAATCCAAGAACCCATCCAATGGAGCAAATGAAGGCCTCAAGGGTGGGGGTGGAACCGAACCATGTGAAACCCTTAAGGCTGCTAAGGAATGATGAACATGCAGATTCAAAACATGGTAAAGCTATGTAAAACTCAATGTTCTTGCCCGGTGAGTCTCCTGGAAAGTTCAAAGCCGAACTAGCCCACCAAACTAATGAGTGAGCACGAACACCCGAACAACACACTGCAACAACACACTTCCTGCACGGACTCTTCAGAAGACTACCAAACCAACACATCCCCAAACCATCCACAGTTATGGTCAGAATCAGAATCTTGATGCTTCTGCCGCCAGTCCTATTTAACACCAAGACGGCCCCCGAGCAACCCGCGCCTTCAGCCCGGTCTTGGGGTTAGGTTTCTCCGAGCAACGCCTGTGTTAGGCGGTTAATGTTCCTCTATCGGATAGAGCCATGGCTTTCCAAATGAGGAAGCATTCGGACCAGCCGTGAATTCCCTCCTTGTTCTGACACAAATGGATGGCCAGCGCATGATTCCAGAGGCTCCCAAGACTAATCCGTGACTACACCAGGATTGAAGCTGCAAGGGTCCTGAGTCCTCAACAATCCTCTTTTGCCAACGTTACCTGTTTGCCAATAAGTCTGGTGAAGCACTCTTGCCTTTTTCAAGGGGGCACCCAATAGAAGATCAACTTGCTGAGAAAAAACAATGAAAACAGCGCTTCCATCCTCAGCTTGTTGAAGCCAACGAAAGTGACCCACCCAGTTCACATCCCCCACATGATTCACAACTATGGGTCTGGGTCTGGGTGTAAAACCTCGACAATTGATGAAACACAACAAGAGCTTCCCATCTCTTTCACTTGGTTTGTAAAATATACAGTGACAGTAATCCAACAAAAACAAGACTGGCCACTGGCCACTGCTTCTTCTGTCGAGTCCAAGGTTCGCATGGTTGCCCAGCTCGCATGGTGGACTTCGATGTGTTTTTTCCTCCATCGATTCGCAGTCTACGGAAAGCCTGCAGGTCATGTGACGCTGATAAACACAACAGCAGCGTGACCAGCATCACTGGCACAATGCTTCCAAAAATAGAAAAAGAGAATAACAAAAAGAAGGCTGCGGATCCAAAATCTGTATAGCCCCAAGCAAACAACAGTCCGTCTGCCTGGACAAACAAAGAACATAAAAGGTTGTCCTGAAATACCAAACTTGTTCTCACAGCAGCACTCGAAGTCGGCTGTTGGGCTTCCAAGTCGGGCTTCGAGGTAAACAAGTTTCAGACCCAGCTGCCTGCTTTCTCGGTCGACGGCACCTTCGTGACGCAGAGACCGTAGAGACCGCCCTCCCCGAACACACTTCCACTCACGCAATGTGGATGTGGTTTTGATACAATTAGTGGTTGACCTTGGTACTTACCAGTTAATATGCTATATGCCTAGTTTGGTAAACATATGCCTGGCTACATCTTGATACAAGCATTGGTTGACCTTGGACCATACACAATGATATGCCTGGCTAGGTCTTGATACAATCTCTGGTTGACCATGGTACTTACCACCATATGCTACCCAGCTAATATACCTTATGCCATATGCCTAACTGGGTAATCTAATATGCCTAGCAAGGTCTTGATACACGTAGTGGTTGACCTTGCTACTTGATCCCTGGATGCAGTTTCCATGGAAGCAGCGATTGCCTTCTGTTATGCAAATGAGACTCCCACTTGTGTCTCCAAGATTATCCAAGATGTTCCATGCCTATAAGCAAACAAACCCTCATTGCACCTACCTGTACACAGTAATCTGCTGGCTTTTGGAAGGGTGTCTTCTTAAACAATTCGGAGATCGCTCGGCGGTCAGTCGTTGGTCAGACTGGACAGCCACGTATTTTGCGCAATTCCTGAAAACTACATCTGAACTGAGAAGGACCTTCAGCTGAACAAGCAACTGCAAGAAATCTTGCACAAACCCGAGTGGCATGGAAAACCACTGTATTTACGGTTCAACAGCACTCAGCAGGATCTGGTGAAGCTTCATTTCAAGGCTGCCCATGAATAGGTCGTCCGCTATGGCACACGCGTTCCAAAAAACGCTAGCCCAGCGTGTTAAAAAAAAACAAAAAAACACCCCAGTTAGGGGATGCTGCATGTTTATTCTTTCGCGGCAATCGGCAATGTTAGGAAGACCTGGGTCAAAACCCGAGGTGAAGACCTGGTACCGAACGCGAGAAACTCTTGGCCGAACTGAACAGGACTCGCGTGAGGACTCGTCCACTTGAAAGATCTGACAGGTGAATATGGCAACCTCTGCCATGTCGCATTGGCGCGATCTGTCACTTAGCATATCGGTCTTGACCCAGAAACAGTACGGCTGTGGGTCAAAAAACAAGCACTTTGCACTTCGGATCTTGACCCACTGAACCAAACACGAGACGCGAGGTCTGCCTTCCAAAACGGAGCGTTGGCCATTTTTGGATGGCATTTCTCCAGCGAAGCTACGCTGTCGGGGCCATCTGTCCGGGGATTTCAGCACGCGGTCTTTTGGCGAGGAAACTCGCCGACGCACCGACGCCTTTTATCGCGGGCGCCCACCGTTAGGCGATCACACAACAGGGGCCGGATGTGGAGTTGAACCAGGAATTATCCAAGGCTTCAGCTGCGCTAGGCCGGTCATTTTCAGGAGTGCGAATCATCGATTTAGCAAAGTCCAGGGCATGAGTTCCAAGCCTGGCGAAAGAGACGGAAGGCTCGAGGGTGTGGTCTTTCTCAGTGGAGTCTCCCTGGTGTCCTCGAACATGTACATATGACCCAAATCTGCCAATTTTGTTCAAGGCCACTTTTCGAGTCTTTTTAACAGACGATGGAGCAATGTGAATGCCATGCAAAGTGGCTCCATATCTGCACCACGATGACAAACGTGCATCATTTAATTGTCCGAAATTGGTGGGCAAACCCATGGGTAGGTTGATGATTGTCCTTGCGAAACAGTGCTCTTGGGTGGTTCTTGCACTATTGCTACGCCGTGAGAAGTTACGACATGACATGACATGTTTCAATCATCGGTGGGTGTGAACCAGGGAAATGGGAACAGTAAATGACAACTAGCATCTCAGGTGCAACATCAATTTATCCAAATTGAGTCCAACTCCCCTTTGAATAATTATCTATGGTCTATGGCTCATCGTGCATTTGCTGAACAATTGCAACAAAGCTCAATGTTAAAAGGTTCAGAATCTCAGCAACTCCCATATCGGTGAACTTGGGCAAACTTAGACTTAGACTTAGATGTTGTTTCGCTGAACCCAATTCTATCACATATACCCACACACATCTCTGCTAAGCAAACCGCCCCACGCCCACTTGCCCAGGGAACTCTTGATTGCGCCATCGTTTCTCATCCAAGAGCTGGACGGCCGCTGCTTTCTCCTCTTCCGATTCCAAGTCCTCCGGCCGGGAGTAGGCTTTCCCGATCGTCAGGGCGATGAAGAGGATTCCGGTACCTCGGCGCCGTACCAAACGCAGCCTGGCTTTGGGCGGCGGGGGGATCACTTGCGCATCGACTTGTGGATCACTTACGCATCGGAAAACGTGGATCACTTGCGCATCGATGGCAATCATGGTAAGATCATGTAAGATCTTTCATGGAATGATTGGCCCATGGGGTGGGTGGGGGGGTGGGGGGGATCTAATGGAATGATTGGCCCATGTCCACATCATCACATCCAACATCCGTGCACGACCGACACACACACAGAGTTCGCCACCAAGTGGGGCAGCCTGATTGTCCAAATTAGTTTTAAACTTGTGTTTAGTACAGGCCTCTGTTTCAATCAAAATCTTTGAACAGCTAAGTTTCCCAAAAAGAATCTATATAGGAGTCAAATCCTTAATGCTCGGGTGTATTTGAGCTTAGTAGCTTACTCTTTAGTGGCCGCACATTGCATGTTGCGCTCAACGAAAACCCGACGCACAAGCGATCCAAAACGCGACGCACAAGCGAACCCCCGCCCCCATTGGGCGTACTTGGGGTTCAAGTGAATCATCGACATGGCTTGGCAGTTTGTTGGTCTGATACCTCCCTTCAGCTGCGATGAATCCACATAAATCCTTTGCCCACCCCAAGACCCAAAGTGCCATCAACAAAAGTTGAGAACTCCCACTGTGACGTGAAAACACGCCATGTCCAATTTGAGCAGTTGGAACTTCCCAAAGACACTCACTCGCCCAAAGACCATGTGGATCAAATTGGGTCCATCATCAATCAAACATAATCAAACTGAATCCAACATTAATCAAACCTGGAATCATGAAGGCCAAAGTATGCCTCTAGGTTCCCTCCCGGGAGCCGGCTGGAGCCGTGGCAACCTTGGAGCCTTAGCATGTCTCCCAATGTTGAGCCTTGGGGAACCGCCACACCAGGCTGCTGTAGATGTCGCACTTCTCAGTGTAGCACTTCTGCGCCACTTCGGGAGCCTGGAAAGGCCTGGCAAAAACGAGAGCGAGCGAGAAAGGTCGGCCCCCTCAAAGAACCGGGTCGAAGAAGCCCCAAGACTGGTCCTGGGTTGGAGAGTCTTCCCTTTGTTCTTTTTTTGAATTACGCATGACAACATGAGAGTGAGAACTAGAGTGAGACCATCCCCATGTGAAAAGGGTTTTCACTTTGTGGGTTGACCAACGAAACGGAGATGGCCATTCAATTGGTGAACATGCTATCCACTGACACCAGGTTTCTTGGGTGGACACCCTAATCATGCTGGTTCGGGAGTGTTCCTGGGACTGTCTCCTGGGACTCTCCATTCTATACCATTTTGCCATTGCATGTTCATTCCTTCATTGCAGGGGTTGCAATTCTTGGAACGAGAGCGTCTCACCACCCGATGGCCGACGATGAACACCTGACGAATGCGTTCTTACGCTGGCCGACTACTTTGTACCTGGACGATCCTGGACCCAAGTCCACAGGAGCAGGGGCGCAGGTGGACCATGAACACGCCTTGCAGGATGGGTTCGTACGATGGTACGATGCTGCTGTTCTCATGGTACCGCCGAGTTCACGGAGTTCGTACATAACTGCGTCCAAATTCAGGGCCCTGGATTCCAACGACTTCTGCCTCAATCTCCTAAAGCAATCTGACCCCTTACACTCAAAACTGAATCAAACTGGCCCGCTGTTTAACGCAATTTAAGACCAAAAGGTCGAGCGATGTCGGGCGCTGTTCGTAGCGAACCATGGACCAAGCGCTCCAGTTGCCCACCAGGCGTCCCAAAGGGGGCGGTCGTGCCGGAAACGACCTGAACGACAGCGGGTCGCGGGTCCATCGCCTGGTCCCCACATTGCTCTTCAAGAACACACCGGGTTGGAACTTCGTGGCTAGGCCAAAATCTGCCAACTTCCACCGGCGACCTGACATCGCAGTTGTGACCGGTCGAACCGAATCAACGATCTATATCTATGGAGGTCAACCTGTCCTGGTTTGGGTCTCCCAATTCTGAACCACAGCCATGTGACGAACAACGCAGAATCCGAGTTCACTGCGAAAAAAAGGTGCTCGAAAGGCTGTTCCTTTGTAGATCTGGATTCTCTGCTTAATTCAATTGGGGTCTTGAGCACGTTCCCCCAGAAAGTGAGGTCATATGATTGTGAGCACTTTGGGGCCAGTTGTAGCACCAGCAACTCAAGCAAAAATTGTGGATCCAGGGTGTTTATCCTCTTCAAACTATGTTGAATTGAAGCTCCCCCTTTGTGGGTTTTGAGCGCTTCAAAGGACAAAATAAAAATTGGATTGTGACCGGCACTCGGTTGCTTTTGTGGGCTTGTCTCTGACCCCTGTGGATCTTCATAGACCTTTTCCAGGTAGTCTGTGTGCGTTTGTCTTGGTCAAACGTGTTCCATTCTTCTACAAGTATAGGATCTAAAATTTTAGTATCCAATTAGAGTTTGATCAGGCCTCCCACCCCGAATCACTGCGAATCACCATGGGTAGATCTTGCGAAGAACCATGTTCAACAACAGCTTCCATTCTTCCGAATAAGCTTCCTTCAGGGCCCTCTCAAAGAGGGCTGAACATCAGAATAAAGACAGATTGTGATTTGTTTTATGTTTTTTACTCAAAGAACAATAACGTTGGTCCCGATAATGAAACGAGTTCCACCATGATTGTCGAATGTAGAAAAAAACAACAACTGTGGAAACGAGTTCCTCCAATCCCAGAAGTGTACATTTTGCAAGAGGCCAGAAGTATTCATGTCATGAAAAAGCACTCATTCCTTGACTGTGGGCTCCAAAACCAAACGCTGCTCTTAGGAGTCTTCGTGTGAAACAAACAAAACACTGGTTGGGGAAATGGGCTTGCTATTTACTGAGCAGTCAACTACATATATTCTGTCTTCTGGACGAACACAGTCAGCAACAAAGGATTTTTTCTGCAGCATGAGCAACTGCTTAGCATTTTGATCAAAAAGCCGGGTCAATCAGGCCTTGGCGAAAAAGGCAAAGCTACAAAACCATATTATAAAACCATATATGTGCCCAGCCAACCCACCACTCTCCTTCCTTTCACTTTGATGTCTGTTTGTCTACACTACACCCGAATCAACCCCAAACACCTTCACCGGTCATCCCGGACCCCCCCGGGATATCGGTTCCATCGAGAGACCCGATGCCAAAAGGACGTTGGCAGGTTTCACGTCACGATGTGCTACACAGTTCTCATGCAGAAACTTGATGGCTTCCAAAAGCTGAGTCATACAAGAAGTGATCTGGAAAAACTCCTCAGCCGATGCAACGAGTCGGCCGCCAGTGGGCTCTGAGATGTAGGATCTCCCCTACATAGTCTCCACCCTCTAAAAACCACCTCCAGTGGAAAGAAGAAAAGAAAACGACCACTTTGTTGCAAGTTCATTATACTGTGTTCTATCTTCTATAAATATGGTCCATTTGACTCAACGCAGTTTGTCACATGACGATAAATGGTCCCATGGTCGTTTTACCTTCTTCGAAAACGAGCATCGGGTGCCATGTACAGCTTCTCGTAGCTCATGGGGACGCGCTCAAATCCTTGGATTTGCTTAAGGGACTGGGAAAACATATTCCTGAGGAGGAGGTTAATCCATATGGAAAATAAGCAATAATCCTATATGCAAATCCAGGCATCTCTGCTCAATGTATTCCTGCATGCTGCCCTGATTGCACAGCTCTAGCACCATGTCGACCATTCCATCTGCGTTGTGAGCCTCAATGATCTTCACAATGCCCTCATGTTTCAAGTCCCTGAGCAAGTTCACCTCATTCTCACCGTAAGGGTCTTTCTCCAGTGAAACTTGCTTCCAAGCAAAATGTTTCTTCGCGCCAGTCTTCTCCTTGACTTCACTGACTTGTCCAAAGCCTCCAGAGCCCAGGTTCTTCACCACGGTGTAGTTCTCTTCAATGATGGATGAAGTACAAGATGTAGCGGAACCACCCGAAATCGCCCGGCTCCAAGTCATCTTGCTCACAACGATGGGGCAGCTGACTATACTGTTGTGGTCTTTAGAATTTGGTAGCTACAATATGCTGACAAAAGCTTCGGTGTCTCGCGAGATACATACCTTTTGCTGGAGAACAAAGCGCTTCGAGCACGTGAAAGCGCTTCGAGCACGTGCGGCGGGGGAAGCAAGAGGTTCAGTTGGTTTCAAGGTGGAAGCACTCACAAGCCATGAGAGAAACGATGAGAAACGAGTCCAATAGGTTCACAAATCGCTGCAACGAATTCTGGAATGGAATCATATCCCATCCAGAGAGAAGACAGGGAAATGACATACCGACCCCAAACTCCAGGGCATGCATGTTGGGGGTGACCACCGGTTAAAGCACAAGTGGATGAACTGGACATCAGGCCTCCGACTAACGTTTGCCCAAAGGCTCACTGCGACTGCAAGACCAAACAGCCACAGCCTGTATAGCTTAATGATCTTAATTTTAGTGTTCTTTTAAATGCATGGGGAATTCTTGTGCCTAGGTAAGCACTAGTATACCATGTCTTGAGCTGAAAGAACAACTGGCCAAGCATAACAGTCTACCAAACTATCAAAGGTCATGTACAGTGTACAGTACTGGATCACCTCCAAACCAATGCTCACAGCCCCGAGGTGGGCCACCGAAAGGCAACTTACAACCTTTTCGTGCAGCACAAACAACACTGCGATCAGGTCAGATTAGTCTACAATGTTACAAGCAGAATGGAAAATCTGAGCAGTCTTTTCACCAAAGAACATGCAAAGAAAACATCACTGTTCCCAGGCCTTCATTCATCCCCCCTAGGGATTTTCTAGAGTATGGGATGAGTTGTTGTTTTTTTGTTATTTGTTGTTTTCAATATATGTTTACAAAAACATCATCCCATGTCAAAAAATGGTGGCAAACGCCAAACGGTGGGACCGACTCGTGATCACGAGTCGACCGCGCGAGCTCGGTCGCGCCGACCGGTCCCGTCCGAGCGAAGCGTCGCGGCATCGGGAAAAGCGCGGCAGCGCTGCGGAGCAAATTGGATTGGACACATGGTGAAACTGGCCAACAACTCAGTGAGGCCTCCAGTTTCATCAAACCTTGAACATCAAAGTTCATTTTGCATTGTAAATATAATGTGATCGAGTCATATTCTTGAACATGTGGATGCTGACGGACGAACATGTACATTGCAAGAACTCCGAAGCTGAGCAAATGCTGAGGGTTTCATAAAAGCGCTCCCAATCGCCCAATGAATTTGTGGTTCCACCACGACTCATGGCTAGCGGCAAAAGGGCTTGGAAAAAAATGCTGGGTAAGAGTCCCAATCACGGATTCTCTGTGACGATGTGCCTATAAATTTGTCGGACAATCCACACAAACAACTGCTGAGAACCCACCGATTGGGAGTCCAACACATTGGCATTTGGTTGTGGTTCGCGCACCCATCAGCTGATCACACAACAAGAATGTCCAGATACGGAGGTTAACCACTCATTTTCCAGGGCTTCTTCAGCACTGTAGCGGTTACTTTCCGGTGTTTGCATCATCGCCTTCGCGAAACTCAGTGCTTTGGCGCCGAACCTCGAGGCGTTCTTGCGCGTGGATCGCCGCGGGGTGGCACCCCGGATGGATCGGTTCGGTGGATCGAAGGGTCTGAGACTTGACAAAGCCTGGCAGATTGGAGCTGAACATGGGCTACGAACGGAGCGATTCGGACGCTACTAGGGCTCCTGGCCTGAAAAAACGAACGGAACAAAAACGCGAACGGAGCGATCGGACGCTAACTGCCATGATGGAGGAGTGTGTAACTGGTGAGCGACACCAGTCTGCAAAGGACCCATGTTCGCGGTGCGGTCATGTGTTGGTCCCAAACGAAAGGCAACAAAACAACATACGCTCTTCTGCAAAAAAGCACATGATGACACCGATGTGGTAACCCCCAAAAATAACTACCATGTCCTTACTGTTGCTGATGTTTCATATCTTTGGATCTTTGGACTGAGTTCTACGGTTTGATATTGGATAGATTTGGGAATTTGGCTATTGTGGGGGTACCATACATACATTACGTGACAATGACACATGACGCATGACATCATATTACATACTACATATCTTTGCTTTAAATTTATACATTGCATCACATCACATCACATGCATACATACGTGCATGCATGCGCGTATTATATATATATGTATGTATATCACACATATAAATATATATATATACATACCGTAACTAGTAACTATAGTGTAGTCCGCAGGATACTCTAATGACGGCATTCTGGACATAATGCATTCAGAGTGCATTCCTGGTCAGATCAAAGATCTATATATGGTGCCCTCAAAAAATCCTAAGCAAATCTGCAATCTTGGATTCAGGGAGGAATGCAGAATGCATTCCTCCATGGAAATACATTCACTCAGGCAAGTCTGTCTTTTCACTTAGGTCCTGGTACTTAGGAGTGTTTTGGCCGAAACAGCATTTAAACATACCCTATTTCTTGGGGATGCAAGATCTAGGACCTAACATTCTCCTTGTCTTTCTTGTGCATTCTTAGATCTTAGATCCCCACAAATATACAATATTCTGTTTGGGGGTGGGGGGTAAAATCTCTGAAGTACCAGGACCTAAGAATGGACAGGAAAGTGGTGGAGAATCCTAGATGGTAGGTCCTGAATGTCTTTAAACCTTGAAACCGTTTAAAACATTTGGGGATAGATGTGGTATCGTGATGCTTTTGGACGTGCAGTGACGTGCAGGTGTTTGACATAACTCCGTCTAACGATAGATAAAATATGGAAATTTGATTTCACACACCGATAGGAATCCAAACAATGTTTCAGTGCTCAGATTATATATATATATATCTTTCGTTTAACTTATCTTAAATTATCAGCAAATCAATTCCTCTACAAAAGCTAATTCCTTTTCATTGTTTAACCAGGGACTACGTACAAAAGTCCCTTTTCTCCAAATCACATCCTTGCAAAAAAGGTTTTGTGCTAACATAGACTTTAGTTTCCTTTAAACATGCGATCCTTTACGTTTCCTTCCTTTTATGAGGGCTTCACCCTTCATGAGCCTCCTTTAAAAGTCATGGTTCATTGGCAATAGCCTCCTTATGCCTCCTCAATTCAACCTGTTACTTGAATCACAATTATTCACAATTTATCCTTGCAAATTGTCTTTCTCCTCAACCCTGTTAGGTCTTTACTATAGAAAATATTTGATATTCAACATGTCCATGCCAAAAGAAGTTAATTCTATATAGGCAAACAGTTGCAAAAAACACATGTGTCCTTCAACACGATTCACACTACCGGAAAAAAAACAATACAGTTGCAAGCCCAACTAATGACCTTGTAATATTCTGTGTAGCTCCCCTGAAAAGATTTGAATTCCCAAGTGCTAGTTTGTATTCTGAGTATTAGAGAGTGTTCCTCTCTTTATTTAGTTCTTTCCCTGCTGATATGACTGATTTATTCTCCCTCTTCCCAACAAACTCTTCCAGGCTTCACTGGCTTGCCTCTTGCTCAAATCGATTTTGTTGTTCAGTTTTATAGTTTCATCATCATCTTCTATTTGCAAACATGTTCTTAAAGGTGATTGACAATCAATCAAGGATAAAAAAGGGAAGTCAACATAACCCAAGAAGATAGTTTGCTTTCCACCCTTGCATAGCAAACACAATCATATTAGAGTCAAGCAATCCGCCGACCCTCTGCCACGTGCAGAGGCGAGGCGCGTCTTGTGGACGGTTGCTTGTACAGACTTTGATCTTGTGGTTAGAATGTTCCTTTGCGCGGATGTGTGGTTTCCGATGACTTCACGCCCCCGTCTCCGCCCTCCCTCACCCTCCCCTCTTCCTGTTGTGATGTTCAATCCCAGTAAATGATCTCCACAAAGTTGTGCTGCATGAGCTTAAAACAATCATCGATCAACGACTAATATTTGGTGTTATGCACGACATTGTTGCGATCAATCTCTCGTGCAAAGGCAACACGTGTCTGTAGAGAATTGTGAAGAAAGCTTGTTCCCAACTCCCCCTCCTCCCCCTTCCCCCTCTCCCTGAGAGAGGGCCTGTAACTATGCGACAACGGCCTTTCAAGCATACGAACAACAACAACAACAACAACAACACAATAAAAAACAAAACATACCAAACTGCCAAACTATAAAATAGAATCTTAAAAAAGAACAACAAGTACCATATAGCAACGCATAGCAACAAGATGTAACAAACAACAATGAACAACAACAAATGACAACAAAAAACAACAAGCACAACAAGCTCAGGTTTGGGTAGCACGCTGACTTCTTTGCCAAGAGGAGCGTCTTGCACGGCTTCACGTCCGCAAGGCATACACCCCACGGACGCAAGCCATGCCAGGTAGGGCCAGCAGCAGCTCTGCTTTTATTCACAGTAGCCCCACGTCATCATTCAGTCCAAACCCTCCTTGGGGCGGCGGACCTGGCCGAAGGCCCTTATTTTGGTTCTAATCTTCTTACATAGTTTGTTCTTTTTTCGACCCCCTTTGTTTTGGTGCTCAGCTTGCTTCCCTGCTTATACACATACTTCATGTTGCGTTGTTGTTTGATAGACACTGTGCACCATCTGGAACAAAAGTCAAACAGTCTGGTTCTTCAGCAATAGCAAAATCGTTTCAGGCACAGCAGGACCTCTGTGCAGGAAGCATTTTACAAATATGTCAACCCGCTGGGGACGCTGCTCACAATTCCTGCATTTGAGATGCGGAATCAGCCAGTAAGTTACAAGTACTCTTTTGACATCCTGGGAAGTTCAGCCAGGTGCTTTCCAACCTCGTCGACCACCAGTTGCGAGCTTGTTTCTGTTTCACTCAGCCAAGGAACTCTCTTCCGTGCCATGAGACCTTCTCATCCAAGATCTCAGCTTGGGCCATGAGCCACCCGTCTCCGCTTGCGGACTCTGGTCGATCCTCCGGGCGCCAGTAGTTCCTCGGGGCGCACGGAGGTGGGTGAAGTCCTTGGGACGAACTGGAAGTTTTGACTGGGCGCAGCAGGTTCACCCTTGGGGAGCGAGCTCAAGAAAACATCAGGCAACAATCTACCCAGCACACCGTATTGGGCTAGGGATCGTAGGAATCCACCCCAAATACAGTATATATATATATCTATCTATATATATATATATATATCATGTCGTCCCAAGCATGCCCGTGTTTCTCACAGACCAATGGGTAAGACTTTACTTGGCTGCACCTTGCAGTGGACCCCAGCTACCCAACAAGAGCAACATGAAAGTATGCCGCATGCCCAAATTTCCTAAGTCTCCCAGGAATGATGTATGGAAACCAATCGTCCAAGGAGTGAATATCTATAGCTTGATGGCAAACCATAGCACCGGTGGTGATGAGGTGATCGCATGTATCGGGCCAGTGGCCTGGCCCGGTTCTTCGAAGCTTGGATTCGGGTTGGTCCCTATATGAGAGGTCACCGAGGAAATCAATATAAATATGATAATAAAAATCACAAATCCAAACCTCAGGTTCATCGACCATTGAGACTTCCGCAAAAAGAAAACAAAGATACAACTAGTGTCTGTTCGGCCTGCCAAAAGGGCCGAGACAACGACAGGCCGTTCTAAAGCCCTCCGGTGCTCACAGTCCCCAGATCCTCTTGCAAATTAGAATCCGCCCGGTCACTAGGGCGATGAACAGGATTCCCATGCCTTGTTGCAACGGAGTTGGATCTTGTTGGTTGGATCTTGTTGGTTGCTGGATAAATATTATTCTTATCCAGCCTCAACACTATGCTTCGTTTCGGTCCCCAAGACACCTTTTGCGTTCCCCCAACAAGTCGCAGACGTGACTCCGAACTGCAGCGGTCGGTAAGACTGGCGGCACTAAGAGGTGTTCATGGAACCACATGGTGAGCATTGGGATGGAGAAGAAGACGGTTTGAGTTGGTGCTTCAAAGACTTGGGACATGGGATTTGGATTCAACATGTTCACAGCTTGGGACTCAAGACTCCCGACTCGTGCTGGACATTCCGATATGAATCGATATGATCCAACGTTCCAAACAGTCCCTGATGGGACGGCGTTTACCTTTGGCCACGGCATAATACTAAAAGAACCCAGCGCCGCACCTTTTGTACCGCGAGGGGGCTGGTGGCTCGAGACGGAAGCGAGGGTCGGTCGCTGCCTCGGGAGTGTCGCATAGCGACCAGGAACCAGCCGCCAGCACTCGCTCGAGGACACCGTTGCCGTACTGCTTCGTCAGGCCATCTGATGGGATCTCACGACCCGGCACCCACCTTATGTATCCTGCTCCCGGCTTTTCAAGGGCCTGACGTAAGACAGCGATGTCCACAATGAGCTTCCGGTCAGTCGGGGTGTTGTCCGACTGCAATGCATCATACGCCACCTTGGCGTCCAAAACCAAAAAATGCCGCCACTTGCTCGCCCAGTACTTCCATGCGTGCAGCTCGAAGTCCTTCATCACAATCTCCGCCCATACTGCACGCACGTAGTCCCCATGCTCATATGCAGTTGCAGCTTGAGACAACTCCGCAGCCATGGAGCATCTCACCACTCGCTGGAGCTTGGAACTGGCGCCCTCCAACAAGACAATGGGCGCTGGCCCCTCCAGGATCAAAGGACTTGCAATCCCCACCAAGAGACCGCCTTGACTTCCTCCTTCAGGTTGGCTTCCATAGGCCGCGTCACTGATGGACAGCACGATCATCTCTTCAGGGGGCAGTTCAGCTTCACCACCTTCACGATCATAGACTTCTTGGCCCTCTTGACCACATGGTTCAACCAGAACAGAGCCCGAGGATCTTGCCGTCCAGCCAGCTGTTGACAGTGCGATGCAACATAAGACAGGTCATATCTGCACTGTCTTGCTGCCCAATTGATCTGGCCGATCACGGAGCTGATGTGCTTGCGCTCGGTAGGAGTCAGTGGCCTCTCCAAGTGGAACCGAAGGAATATCCTTGCAGTAGTCGTCCATGCAGTACTCCACCTCCTTGGAGACAGGATCCTGCCTCTCATAGCGTCCACAGAACTTGACCCAGCCGTTGAGCCCATCACGACGATCACCAAATCGAAGCCGTCGATGAAGTTCCGTCCAAATGTGCTCGGCCGATGGTGCTCCAGCATAGCGGGTGTCATCCACATGAATGCATGCCATGCCAATGAGGTTGCCCGTCTCATCGTAGAAGCAGAAGAACCCTGGTAGTAGGCGAAGTTCACGTCCACCCAAGTCTTGGAGGGTCTGGCGGTACTCCAAGTACCATAGACGCGGGCTCTCTGGTAGCCCAAAGCCTCCTTTGGTCAGTCGAACGATGTCTTGGCGGCAGCCCTGTCCAATCATGCCATAGACCATAGACCTCCTCAAGGACCTCGGGAGGGTATTGAGTCGGCAACCTGACATAGATCTCTCTCTCGGCAGCCAGCGGTTGCCCTTGTAAGAATGCCGCACTGACATCTTCATACACAATGGTCCACCCCTTCTGAACCGCCAGGAACACCAACAAGTTGTGCCCAACCAAGCTCACGGTCGGAGCTGCCGTGAGGTGTTCTCCGGCCTCAGGATCACGGTGGCCTCCAAAGACCCAGCGAGCCTTGAGCAAGGCTTCCATCAAGGCCTTGCCGCCCTTGTTGGTGAGCACCATACGAGACGGCAAGATGTACCTCGGATCCACATATTGACCCAGGGGAACGCCCGCAATTGCTTCATGCTCGATGTATACATGGAAGGCCTTCTTCAAGGGCTGGATGTAGGCCAATCGCCAATCTCCGTCAAGTTGATTCCAGTTGTACTCCAGCCTCTCCTTGCCCGTGATGATCTCGCCCCCCAACATGCTCTTGGCTTGCTCCTTCACCTTCTCATGGGCCGCATCGGTCAACTGCTGCACTCGAGCCTGAGTCGATGGTTCAGACCAAAGCGCCTTCTGCAGAAGCACTTCATCCAGATCCTTGCCGGCCTCAATGGTTAAGAAGTGGCTTCTCTCTCCAGTCACTGGTTCGGTCTGAGGTGGGCGTAGTTCCGGATGCAATCCGATCGGCCTGGTAGGACACATATCGCCGGGCGCCGGAGGAACCTGCTCTCCTAGCATTGCATCCCTGCGTCTGTGGACCTCCTTGGACTTCAACTTGCCCACCGATGTCCGAACACCCTTGGCCTCCTGTCTCGTCTTCCTCAACCTCTGAGCGGCCTCCTCCAGACGATGCCGTACTTGAGCTTCTTGAAGTGGAGACGGGGCGCCCATCTGCTTGGCCAGGTTCTCAAAGAGTCGTTGTTTCTTCTCAAAGGGCATGCTGTGCGGATCTTCTTCACCTGCCTCCTTCTTCTTGCCGATCTGCAAGGGCACATCATGCATGAGGCGCTTTTCGAGCCGCATCCTCTCAGTCTCCTGATCCACTTCCATGGGCGGCTCTTCCTCCTCAGCCTCACCCTCGTCCGAAGAGCTTGAAGACGAGGACGATGAATCCGCCTGCGCGCCCTCATCATCCACCACCACTCTCGCCCTTCCTGACGTGAGCTCCTTCTGCAAGTCCTCGACTGCCTCCTTGATAAAGTGGCCGCTGACCATCTCATCGGGAGTGGCGAGTCTCACCTTCTCCAGTGCAACTGACTTCACACGGCCCTTCAGTCGCACCCACACTCGCTTGGGCACCTCCTTGTCTCTCTCAACGCAGATGACGATACCAGGACCTGACCAGCTCACGTTGTCTTGCATGCGTCTTGCCAAGCCTCGACGATTCGCAGGTGGGTCGTAGATGAAGACGGTAGCACCCTCCTGGATCAGCTCAAGCTTTGGTGGTCTCGACTTAGATGCCAGTGCCCGCCTGAGGGTCTCATGTGAATCAATCCAGTGAAAAGCCTCAGCCGCTCCAACACGGATGCGTTCAGCCCGCTGAAGCGCCTCTTCTCTGCTGATCTCCTGATTCACCACGAAGCGCATTCGGCCAGAACACAGCTGATCCATCAAAGAGCTTGGAAGGAGAGCTTGTTGTCCAGTTACAGCCTGCATGGGAGAGACTCCACCTCGGTTGACCAATCGGTTCTTGGCTGCGCAGGCTGAGGTGACCGCCATGCGTATCTCATCTAGGCCAGCCAAGTTGTGGCTTTTGGTCATTTTCATGACCATCAATTTCAAGATGCTTCCATGGCGTTCTGCTTGTCTAAGCTTCCATTTGGCTCCTTCAGGGATCACCTCGTGCAGCACCCCCATGACTTCATTCAGGGTATCCACCGTGCCTGCAAACTCCGTCCCCGCATCTGTGTAAATGACATCAGGGGGACCGAAGATGGCATACCACTGGTCTCTCAGCACGGATGCCGCAAACGTGGATGACGGATTCACACAGGCGTCGCCCACATGGAAGGTGGTGAGGGCGTCCAAGTAGTGCACCACGCCATACTTGTCGCCCTTGCTGTCCCACACGTAGAACGAGTCACCGCTGAGCATCTCGTTGAAGTATTTGGCCTTTTGAGCGGACACTTGAGGAGCATCCTTGGGCGGGTGTACCATGGCACAGATTTGGCACCTCAAATTTCGAGCCGCACATAGAATTTGTTCTCCGGCGCCACTCAGTAGAAGCATCCTCACCAATCGTTCATTGGACACGTGGCCCAGAGATGAGTGCAAATGTGCCACCGCTGCGCGAATGCGCCGAGGTACCTGCTGCCCAGCACCATCATAGGTGATGTAGCCATAGCGGTCCGCGGCTACTCCCAACTCAGCCATTTGCTTCCTCAGCTCGGCCTCGGGAACATCACCAGGGTTGACGGCGCAGCATTCCCATCGTCGCACATCGTCCACCTCTTCGCACAAAGTGACGTGTGGCTGCTCACCATTCTGCTGCAATGAGACCTCGGCACTGTCAAAGATGTGGCCGCACAGGCCTGACGGCCACTCACCTGCCAGTTGAGAGCGATTGACCCACTCACCCTCAAACATGACCTTGCCCTCAATCACCTGGTGCTCTCCAGTGTCATGCATGCATGTGGCTCCCCGTCGCAATGCATTGGCAAACACTGGGTCATTGACATCTAGAGCAGTCCGCTTGCGATGAGGCTTGCCATTCACCCTGTCCTTCAGACCAAAGCGACACTGGTCAAGCTGAACACGATGGCAATGAGGCCGCGACTTCATGAAAGTCAGATTGAGGGCTTCCGACAGCCAAGGTTGCTCAGTCAAAACCAGCCGTCCTGCTTTATCTTGTTTGTCCCATACCCTTCTCGCAAACCGCCAAAGCGGTAGATGCTCTGACCTCTTGAGCTCAACCTCATCTGCATCACATAGATTCATCCAGGAGCACCAGGGGCCACAAGGCATACTCAGTGTCACCAAGTCCGGCTCCATCACCTCAATGAGATGCATGACATTCTCCTGCTCGGCCTTCAGCAAAAGGTCATGCCCGAACACGATGTCGATAGGAGACATAGCGTCCCACTTCTTTCGACGGCGGCCCACCTCCGATAGCCGAGCCACCCCCGCGAAGATCTCGAAGACCAGAAAGCGATCCTCCTTGTTGGCCACCTCGTTGACATAACTGGCCAACGCCTGCACCCGGGCCGCACCCTGCTTCAGCCGCTGGACATCACCTCGCTGCAACTGCTTTACCCGAAGAGAGGGTAAACCTGTGGGCTATTGAGTTTCTGACGAAGAGCTCCCACGTGGCCCCATACCCAAGCCACCTCCTTGGCATACAGTTGACTCAGCCATCGAGGATTTCTCTTCCAGCGAGCTCCCGGATGTGAGGTCTCCACCGCCAGCTTGATGCGTGCCTGCCATAGCATCTTCTTCCATAGATACGTCAGCATCTTGGAGCGAATCGCTCCGGCCAGATTCAGCGGCATCTCCACACTCCAGGTCATCGATAATGATGGGAAGTCGGCGTGCATCCCGGTCAGCGCCTTCTGGTTCTCCCGCTTGCTCTTCGACTTGGCCGCCTTCTCCCGGCGCTTGGCGATCATCTTCTTCTCTTCCGGTGTGAGGTCGCCATCCACCACACTGCCCATTCCGTGTTCTCCTCCTCGTCGGGCACCGGCACCAATTGGGCATCCTTCAACAACGATGACATCGGAACCGGAGCTGCCTTCTTCTTCTCCAGCGCCTTGCTCTTCGTAGGCGACGCCATGCTCTGAGCCTTGAGCTTGCGGGCCATCTCCGTGTTGTCGCCATCGATCACCATGTCGAGCATCTCCTCCTCCTCCAGGGCCTCATTCCTTCGGACGATGACCCACGTCCCCACATAGTTGGCATGCCCTCATCACTGGCTCGCCCTTCTTCCCAGTGCTGCCGCTCGACATGAACAGTAGGCAACGCTGAACGGGCGTCAGGGCGGGCGCTGTCACGATTGTCGGGCTCGAACATCACAGCTTCGGTCGGTTGAATCACATAGGCTTCAAAATCCTCTGGCACTTTGAAGTCCGACGGAAGCGAAGCTCGGTGCTCTTCAGTGAATTGATCAATTGCCAACAAATAATGTCCGTTCGTGGCTCTCGACAGTCCGAATGTCTTCACCTTCATCTTAACAGAACTACATGTGTGGTTGCCACAGTTGATGCTCATGCCCAATTGACTACACGCATGTCGTGATAGGAGAGGAGGACAATGTCCGTGAACCACCGAAAAAGCCAATACTACATGACAAGTAGCCAACATAGCCTCGAAATGAACCGAGTAACGGCTTTGAAGCGACTGGCCATTCCCGAATTGAAAAGTCTCCTTCTCGGGGAAAACTCTAAACCAACGATCTCGCTTCTTCCATTCGGCCAGGAGCGCATTCATCCATTGAGTGCCCACTACCGACTTGACGCAGCCCAAATCTAAAATGATATGTAAATGAAGCTCCCGGTGGCACCAAAAACTATCATGACCCGAAGACGTCAGCGCTCCTGGAGACCGCCCCACACCAGTGCCCCTCATATCGCGATCCAGCTGACTTCGGCTCTGGTGAAAAAGTGCAAAGAGCAGCCAAGGTGGCCCACTCACTGTCATCGGTCTTGGCGCCTGCATTGTTGACACCATGAGTACCCTTCTGTGGACACTCCCTAGACCAATGACCAAGTTCGCCACATTTGTGGCAAGGAGACGTCTTCATCTTCTCGGCCAAAAGACGCTTTTGTTCATCGGCGTCAGGCCTTTTGAAGTACTGTCTCAACTTCTTGACTTCCGCAATCTTCTGGCGGGCCTTGAAGTGCATGGCAAAAGCTTCATTCTCAAACTGCGTCAACTCGGGTGGAAGCTGCTCCTCGTCCAGGTTCTCTTCTTCGTCAATTCCCCAAAGGCTTCCACCATCAAAGTCCATAGCGTGCGCATCCTTCTTGTTTCGTTCCTCTCGTTGCACAAGGAACTCATCGCCACAACGGGCGGCGACATTGGGCTCAGATGAACCAATTGCAAAACCATGTCCACCGGGGCGAGCTCAATCATGGAATTGGTGATGGCCTCTTCACTGTCCGAACCGGCGCGTGTCCGGATCATCACCTTGTCGCGTCGGGTGAGGCGTGCACCGTCCAGCAAATGTCCGGTGAAGAAGTACTCACCCATCTGCATGTCGTTGTCCAAGGCCTGCAACTGTGTGCGATAGATGCTACCACGGGTCACGTAGGACTCGATGGACTCGCCAGGCAGGCGTCTGAGTCTGAGCTGCATCACAACTTCTTCCGATGCTGATCTACCTTGTGCCGATCCAACTGACGGATGATCGGCGACTTCTCGAGTGTTTGAAAAATGATCTGCAAGCCATTCTTCTGGTTGACATCAGCATTGGACAAGTGGTGCACCAGTTGACCTGCTCGATCTCGTAGTTGAACCATCACCCGGGGACCTATCAGCTCGTCCGGAAGAGAAGCGGCTTCACCACCAATCCAAAAATCCACGGCCCTCTTCCACTCCTTATAGGACTCACCTGGCTTGGCCCGGAAGATGGGTGGATAGCTGGAGGAAATCCGTCCCTTGCGATCACCGGCTGCGCTCTTCTCCTTCTCTTGTCCGGCCGATGAGGGATCACCTGATGGAAGGTCTCCTGAGGCATCCCTCCCATGTGGTGAGGTGGGTGACTCACCTCGTAGTTGTGACTGGCTATCCAGTCGCCCCGATGGAACATCACCGTCGCGGTCTCCCCTTCCGTGGCGGCGATATTCTCCCCAAGGGTCACCTTGTACCCGTCCGTTCAACGAGTGAAATACTCCCGAACGTTCCCGGCGTCCAGAATCGCTCCCTCGAACATGAACCTCACTCCCCAGAACCGCTCTGTCCCTATGCCATTCATACCAAGCATCCCTCGGCCTGGTCCATTCCCAGTTCTCCGACGACTGTCGCGAAGAGCTCCATGCACCGGATCCCCAACTCCAGTTTTCGTTCGACTGCTGATCATCTTCAGCATACCAGCTTTGACCCTCCGAGGAAGACCACCTCTCGGACTCAGGGTCCCCCACATAGTGCCACTCCGGGCCAACAGCCCTTTCCTCCTGAGGACCGACCTCCTCACTTCCACTCCAGCCTTCCGATCTTGCCGAAGATCTCCCCGAGGATGAAGTCCCCTTTCCACGGCCCAGCCCCATGCTCACCGCCATGGTCGAGTACGACGGCATCGACCCCCTCGCTCGTGCGCGCGCCCCGCCACCTAGCCGCCGGCCTACCGCCCCTGGATCAACCAGAGGCTCCGCTACCACTAAAAGAACCCAGCGCCGCACCTTTTGTACCGCGAGGGGGCTGGTGGCTCGAGACGGAAGCGAGGGTCGGTCAGTGCTCGTTTTGAGTATAATCCTAAAAACTAAATGGGATGGTCTCTTGAAGGTCTAGGGTCTCCACAATACACTCAGGGTCTAAGAGATTTGATGAGATTTGGGGTTCCTTCCAAGTCAAGGCTTGATCAACTTTGCAACCTCTGCAACTTCTGGGCATGGTCATGGTCTCCCGCCTTTGGCACAACTCAAGCAACATTCAAATTTGATCTCGGTGACAAACAGAACCAATGACCTGATCTCAGTTCATTGAGATGAGAAAAGGCGTCCTTTTGCCCTGAGTTAGAATATTCTCAACAACCGGCCACACATCTCTACTCTATATTAGTAAGGGCAGTCTGGTTTATTGAGCCACCAACTGCAAGCAGCCACACCTACATCAAACCTGGAATGACATGCACCAAAGGAATCCAATAAATAAGGAAAAACACTTAATCCGTAGTCCTGCAACTTCCAGGACTCTAGCATCCACACACCCTCTGAAAAGAACAATGGGCATATTTCAAGTCTGCGCTGAAGTCGGGACCTCAGTCCATACACCATTCTCAGGCAGATTCTCTGGGAAAAGGAACCAAGGTCTGTTGTGTTCCAGCGTAGTTTTGAAGCTGGACATGAATGTCCAGTAGTATAGTGGAACTACAAGACATCCCTAAAAAGAGTTGGGTGTCTTCGATCCAGAAGATCCATCATGTTACAAATGTTTACAGTTTACAGCACGCTTGATTCTCCCTTCTACTAGCCCAGTGAATACTTTGGGTCATTGTTCTTTTGAAAGTCAAGCAGACCCTACTAGACCCACCCTACCTGGCCCTACCTCTTAATGGATTGGAGTTCTCCCCGTCCCTCGAAACTCCACCGATGGTCCGGATCCCCCAAAAGGTGACTTCACGGGCAAGACCATGCCAGCATCACCCGGGATGAAAAACAGAAACAACCACGGCAGGTAGGTGGGGTCCTTAAACCACATGGCAGAGTGGTGCTCCGTGCGATCTCTCTTTTTAGATCTTTTTAGTACCCTTTCGACCTGAAAACGCTGGTGGTCTCACACCACCAACAGTCCGTGCTTGCTCCGATTTCGCTCCGCTCTACCTTCGCTGCCGTGCTGGACCCGGCGCCCCCGGCCACGCGACCTCCGCCGTACCTCGAAGCGCCAAGCAGCTATAGATGTCGCACTTCTCCGTGTAGCACTTGTTTGGGACTTCGGGAGCCTTGAAAGGCCTGGTGTGACGCGGTCAGTTCCGACGGCTCATGGGTGGTTTCTGGGAGTTCCACCCCGGACATCTGGGAACGGGATTGTGGTTGGTCGATACATGTTACCTTCCTGTCGATACACTTAGCTGAAAGGGTATTCATGGTAAAGATCTATGCCAAGAGGGAAAACCATCTTGCAGGCGCCACCCGCCTTTTCTCGAAACTCCGGCGCATTCAATTGCCCACGTGAGGTGGACGCTATAACCAAAAGAGTCATTTATGTATGTTGTTCCTTCTTTTCCGGAGCGACCTGAGGTTCTTTTAAGCGTCACCTGCATGTGGAATGAGGTAGTGTTTGGAGTGTATGTGTGTGGCTACTCCATACATAGCCATTAGGGATGATCCTCCTCACACAAACAGGTGAAAGCATGATGAAACACCGAAAAACTCCACTTCAAACTCTTTGGCACACCCAGTCGCAAAATGCGTCCCTCACCACTGGAGCGAAGTCGCCTGAATGGCCCGTACCGATGCCTGGTGCGTACCGATGCCGCGTGGACCGAAACAGGCGCACCGTGCCTGGTGCCAACATGGTCCACCATATAGCCACCGGGTTGGAAGTTGGTCGAGAGATTGAAATCCGCCAGCTTCCAGCGCTGACCTCAGAGGCGATGCTTGAGCTGTCGAAGCTCCTAACCTGTACGAGAACCAATGGCTTAGTGGTCGTGTGACGATCAAACCAAAGTCTGCTTCTACATGCAAAGGGGTGTTCACTGCACCTTCAAAGAAGTCATCACCTTCGCCCGTTTTTCAGGAAGCAAGGCCGTGGAACTCAGGGTTTGTCATATGCACATGACATTTTGTTTGGAAAAAACACACTTCAAAACAGGTGACACATGGTGTCACTCAGGTCCTATATGTCCTTTCTTTGTCCTCGATTCCTTCCGTAATAGAGTCGCTGAATCATGGCGATCTCAGCGATCTACAGCGGCTACAGCTCTGGTCCCTACCCGAGTGAACCACAGCTGTGCATAAGATATACGAACCCCAGTAGCGGACGGTCATGGGAGATAGCAGAAGGCGACGAGTACCAGGGGGGAAGCCCAGCCAAAGCGATTTGATTCCATCTACTACCCCCTGCCAGGTGGAAGTGTTGTGGCCACCCGGAGATGATCCGGCTGTGGGGTCAAGGGGATGATCCGGCTGTGGAGTCCCAACGTCTCGATTGAAACATTCACGAAATGTAGGAATGAAGTGATGAGGAATATCTGGACATCTCTTTGAGAATCTTTGAGATCAAACACCCATCCCATCTGTTCACCATGCAACAGCACCAAGATTGGGGACCTTCAGAGAAAAACGATCTGTCGGCATCCCATCACCAACTGGTTGGTGGTTTCAACATGGTTCAACAAAAACGAAGGAAACATACTGTATTGGTCAGTGCGTTCAATCATCCCAACGTCAGTGGGTTGAAAAAGAGAGCAGCTCATCGCTTCAACGTTGGCACTTCAGACCACCTGTCATGCCCAAAGGCCAGAGGCTAAAAGCACATTGCCAGGCTTGATATCCCGATGTGCCACGCAGTTCGCATGAAGGAACTTCACCGCATCCTTGATTCGAGGGCCAAATCCTCCAACATACTATATATTTATTTGGGGGTATTTTTGTTGCCCCTTAGACCAGCAGCTGGAATCGGAATACTATATACAATATCTAAACTGTGCTATAACATACTATCAGGTATAATTACTGCATTTACTGCCCTGCACTTAACAAAGTCAAAAAATCACTTCCCTTATTTTTGACATGTTTAAATCTCCCTATGAGTTGGGGAGAAGGCTGGGATGTCTGGATTGAACTCCCCAAACATAGGGCACCCCGTGAAAGTCACAGCTCTCTCTTTAGGACCCGTTGTGATTCGGTAGGGCATGGAACAAGCATGTGCTCTTTAGTACCATCCGTACAAACTTACAGCAGCAGTGCTGTTATTGAATCTCTGTCTACAGTCTACACATTCAAGCAAGGATATGATTCTCTAGAACATGTGGAAAGTCAAGTCTCTGACCACTGTTTGGACTTTCGGCGGATGATATGTTCTTTTCTTGCTGGTCACCCTGATTGAAACTATTTATTTTCAACATGCAGCTGCACTTAAGGAAATCAGTGCAGTAAGGGGAGGGCATGCCATACCCCCCCCTTAGGGAGGTCGGTATCGCTACCGACCTCAGTAAGCCCATGGCTCTCAATCAATGGGGCATGGTTTTTGCATTGATTTAAGCATCCCTGAATTATTTTCACCTGCACTTAAGGGAATCACATGGAGGCTTACTGCAGTCGGTAGCGCTACCGACTGCACTAAGGGGAGGGCATACCAAGCCCTGTCACTACTGAGGTGATTTCCTTAAGTGCAGGTATGAAACTTTTTGAATAGGTGAATTATTTTCAATTCTAAGTTCGGATTGGGGGAGATGGTCCACTATCAAAGGAGAGAGTATAGGAGAGAGAGGGGCGTGACGCCTGGCTGCCTGACCGATTGTTCATTTAACAACCAGAAGTGAGCTTTACGGCTACAGGACCGTTTGGCTGCATGACAGATCTCCGGTTTGGCTGCATGAGGGTCTCCTTTGCCCTTGTCCCATGGGCAGGTTAACCCACCTGTTCTATTCGGGCTTTAATGTTATTGATGGATTTTATTGGATTCATCATTGAGTACTTCCGAGCTGCGGTCCCAGCAGCAAGTATGTTTAAATGCAGGAATGAAATTTTGACATCGTTAAGTGCGCCCCAGTTTACACTCCAGGTATCTAAACTGTGCTTCATCTAAAAAGCCGAGCATCCAAGACCTGTCTCATGGCCGATTGGATGTCAATGCAGTCCTGAGCAAGTTCCATTGGTCCATCCAACCATTTAACCAGAGCTCCTGGTCCGAACATAGAGGTCCCCGTACCAAGAAGTGTCAAGCTGTGCGGCGATGCCCAAACAGAGTTCCTTATATATGTGGCTGCTTAATCAACACCCTTGGCTATCCGAGCTGTCTGTCTAGTCTACATTCGCTATATATTATATGATATTGCTAATTAATTAACGGGCCAACGGAAGGGTCATATCACTTAGCTTCAAACTTGTGAAAACAAATCATGTGTTTGTTTGTCAGTTGCAAAGTGGTGATCAGACGGGTGCCCCATACCCATTCACTTACTGAACCTTGGATCAAACACCAAATGCCCGGCTTGGGAACTCGAGAAAAAAACTCCACACCCAGTGCTAGAGAGGTACTGGCTTCTGGAACCCGACCCACATGTCTTCCGGCGTCCACCCTCTCATGTCGTCGGACGGGGGTCAGCCCGTCGATCACCTGCACTCGGATCAGGACGGTGAGATCGATCAGGATCGGAAGCAGTGGATCGCCACCGGATGGTAAAATAGCAACTGAACACAACTGAACCAGAACCTTTGGCCATGAATGGCCCCTTTTTAAACCCTTTCTTTGATGCCTCTTTAATGGCTATCTACATGTAGGCAATCTTTCGGAACAACTGGTAGAACACCTCTCAGCTGGTCACAAGTCCTCGCGGCTATTCCATCTCATTCCCAGGCCCACGCGCGTTTGCCTTACTCGGCCCAGAAGCTGGTCGGATGTAGACCTTGTTGGGGTAACTGGTCGGAAACATCTCGTAGTTTGATTGAATGTACTCCTTCATGCTCCCCTTTGGGCATAGCTCCAGCACCATATCCAGTACAACTCCATCTCTAAAGTACGCGTCGTAGATCCTGACGATGCCCTCATGCTTCAACTGGCCAAGCAAGTGCACCTCATTCTCACAGTAAGGGTCCTGGCGGTGTGCTCGACTTGAACCACATGACCATAAATTAATAAATACCTATGTCACGTTGTGCCGGGCCCGGCACGTGAATGTCGGCCCAAACGAGTCACGACTTGGCTCGTCACGAGACGACCGGACGGACCGGACGACGTCGACGGACGAGCGACACGGAGACGACCGGATTCGAGGGGTCCTTTTCTAAGGAGACTTGCTTCCATGCAAATCGCTTGCCTCCACCGGTCTTCTTCTTCACTTCCTTGGACCCCAAAACCGGTTGGTCCAGAATGGACCAGAGTGGCTGGGGCCGGCTTTCAGGTTCCAGAAGGCGGTAATATTCGGTGCTATTTTGGTTAGGGTATGTTAGGGTGTTCAAACTGGGGCACGTTCTTGTTCGGGGGCAACTGCTGAAAACAAACAAAACTTGAAAAGTGAGTCAAGCTTCTTTCACTTGTCCAAATTCTCCGGAACCCAGACTCCTCACCACCGTGTAACTCTCTTCAATGACAGATGACCCACGAGATGTTGTGGATACAATTGAGATGGTCTTATCCACCGACATGGCAAAAATGGAATCGGGAATGAGATACGAGACGTATGGAGGTTGCAGCCTGCTGTGTGGAATCTAGGCCCGTGTCAGCATGTCCAAGATTGGAACAGATGTGAATCATGAACCATCGGAGGTGTTTCAGGATCGAGAACAAACACCTCCGCATCATATGGAGGTGTTCCTCCCATAGAGCAGAAAACTGGCCGTGAGGGCATCCAGTGAGCCAGGGCACAGAGGTCTTTTGTTGCATTTTCGGCGGTCAAGATATTCTTGGATCATGTGTTTCAAGGAACACCCTTAAGAAACTGTGAAGAAAGAAGTGATCCAAGGGTATCTTGACCAAGGGTATCTTTCTTGGGCAATCGACGGTCCAGTCTGACGGTCTCAACCCCCGGACGTATGGCAGCATATATGATCTGCTATGTTGACTAGGTTATCATAGACTCTTGATTAATGAACTCCTCCATTTGGCTTGTAAAACTGAAGAACTTACAGTATACAGTATACAATAGCATACTCCATGAACATCTGCTTGGCCTGCGGTTTTCCATTTTATAAACAAACATGTTTATAGAAGGGTAAAACGGTAAGACCAAGATAGAATCACTATCAAATGAAAAACCAACCTGTTTATAAAATGATGATCTCTTACAGGCATATGTTCCTGTCAGATTTCTTGAACATCGTTGTCTTTATTTAATGATCAAGCAGACCTCTGTAACAGTCGATAGCCCAAGATTGATCAAGCAAACTCATGATGTGGAGGTCCACATGTTGCTTCTACAAGGGGGTACCAAATTACCAAGGCCTTTGTCCACAAACGGTTCATGGACCAAACAGCCTTTGAATGTTTTGTTGATCCCCAGAGATGATGTTCTAGAAAGCTTCCTTATAACATTATATTTCCAAATCTTCAACACCAGCGCTCTGCTTATAAAATGACTCGACCGAGTTCCATCTTAGCAAAGGTGAAACGTTCAACGTCTTCAGGCAGCAAAACCATGCTTTTATAAAATGAGAATCCCACCTCTGATTTTGGCACATACCCATTATATTCTTTATAATATGGGGGTTGGAAACTGCATTTATAGAGGCAAAGGATCGACAGTTTAGAGTGGCATGCTAGTGGAGTATACAATAGCTAGTATATAGATTCTCCTAGCTCACAGGGTTTTATTTAACACATCCAGAGTCTACATATAATTTGGATTCTCCTGACATCTCCTGACCGACTTAATTTTGGTCGATCGCGACAACAATACATTTATGGAAATTGAACACTTTATACTATACACATCTATACACCCTAGGGCCTAGAGATCCAAGTACCCTCCAAACCTACATAACAATGTCTCCAATCACCCTCTGAGATGGTACTTGGATCGCTAGGGACACAAAAACACCATGGCCTTCGCCTTCCAAGAGCGTGGTGAATGGAGATGGAAGGAGGATCCTGATGTCTATCAATCCCACTCGCTCTACCCTTGGACCCTGAAAGACAAATTGGATCTCTGCTGTTACTGTTTTGGAGCTTCATTGAACTTCACTGAAGCTATCTCGAGCTTTTTGGGCCGTGCCGAGCAATGAAAACTCCACCTGATCGGTGGAAGAAACTGACATGGTGGAAAGTGGCGCAACAGGCTGTCTTCTCTGTGTCTTCTCTAGTTACCTACAGTTTCTAATCGCTTGGTCTCCAAATTGTCTGTTTCTTGTGCTGTCAAAGGAGATCCAATAAGCATGGAAGGTGCCATCGCATGACTCCATTGAAAAACCATGGTCCTTTACAGCGGACTCTCCACCAAAAGCGTCTCGACTCTCTCAAGATCTCACGAACACGGCGCTCTCTGCCTCTCTGCGGCCTGCAGAACAAGAACCCTCCGGATGCACGGACGGAGATGGCCTTCTTTCTTCAGCAAACACTGGACTGAGCGAACACGGCCTCCATACAGGTCCAAAGGCCTAGGTCCCAAACACTGCTTTGTGTCTCAACGCGAAGGTAGGACCCTCCACCCGCTAAACGTGTCTCCAGATGTCTCAAGGTGTCTCTTTTGTTCCGCTTCAAAGGGTATGTGCATCCAATAGAAAAGGGGGATCATACAAGAACACTGCTCAATGAGGTAAAGGACTAGGCATATAACAGGGTCAGACTGGACCTCTAGGCTCAAGGTTCTCGACATCATTGTTGCTGAAGGTGGTTTCGTGATGCGCAAACTTATTTGCCCAATTTTCTGCAGTGGTCTATAGGTCTGATGACGACTTGGTCTTGAGACCGGGTTCGGTGCCGAACGGGCACGAAAAAGGACAACATCATCCTCTGCAAAACAGCCTGGCGCAAACCTACACAAATACTGTAATTACTGTAATTTGGCTAGTTCTCACTCACTGGCTGTCCCTAGGTAGGAAATGGGTGCGATTGGAGTGATGAGAGTGTCTGAAAGACATCATGGTGGTCCCAAGGAATTTCATCACCATTTCTGATGGATCTGCTATACTTTATTTGACCTTTTGGGCCACCCTAGACTGGACAAGTTATATAGGAACATATAATTAGGAACTCTAAGAACTCGAGCTGGTCAGCCATTTCCTCAACTTTCACGATGTTTGGATACCACATCACGGGCCTCTCATACGCTTTGAGTTTCTCACATGGAAGTGGAACACCACCAGTCGGTCCATGTTCTCCGATGACCGACAGTCATAAGGATTTGTCACGACCAGTTGAGAGGAGTCATAGCATTACCAAAAATAATGTGGTCATTTGGGATAAACTCCAAAAAGCACCGACTTTGAGCATCCAACGCATTACTATTGGCCTTACTACTAGTAGCAAATAGCTACTAGTAACAATGCACCTTACTACTAGCAACAAGAAGCTACTAGTATATAGCTCCCGCAATACTACCAACGAACACCCGGGACGAGTAACTCGCACCCGGACGAGCGAAGTCGTGCACCGTGCACCCTGTCCGCCTCCAGCGTCCGCGTGCGTGGAGGCCCATCGCCGCTCGGGTTATGGGCCTGGAGAGGCAGTCATCGTGAAAGGCTGTAGTCATCAACTGCAGCAAGTCCTTGGAGGATTCGTTATAGTATGCAGGGCCCACAGGGCTGCTGAAACTAGTTGTTGGAAACAACCACTTAGTGCATACCTGTAGGTCATGAATCTGGACAACTCTGTTTGGGCACCGATTTCCAGCGCCGATGGACACAGAATATCTGATCAGTTCCACTCGCATTGATGTTATAAACACAATTTTTGTAAAATGCACCAGCTTCTTGGCTGATACCTTCAATCCTGCAACTGAATGAAGTTGTTCCCAAATTGGGCTGACACCTCAAGAGGTTTTGATGATAGTCATTAGACATGGCACGGAACATGGCACCTTAAAGATGTCACAAAACATGGAGGTTTTGATTATTCTGAAGCAAACGGGCAATACATACTACATAATATAAACATATGTAGGGTAAATAGATGTAAATAGATACATGCACTCCCTGAAACAATAATGGACGTGGAGAACCACCCGCTTGTAGAGGAAACAAATTGTCATCCAAGGGGCCATTTTCCACTCCCACAAATACAAGGTTCAGTTGGAAATCGGAATCCTGAAGCTTGCCAGCATGTTGCCAAATTGTTAAGACAGTTTGTTCAAAAAAACAAGTGGTAGAGGCAATGATTGTATTTCCTTCTCCACACAGGGGTGCCTAGTCTAGAGATTCCCTAGACACGAACCGACGAAGCAACATCCACAAAAAACTCTTTCAGCAAGGGCAATCGCCAACATCCTGTTTTGGACCAAACTGTTCATGCCTTGAAGGGGAAAGAACGCGTAAACAAGCAAGAACACCTTAGAACTGAAAAACTCTTGTCAAAATCAGGCATATCTTATGCCAAATATCAAATTCTAGATTCTATATAGGTATTCTTGGAAAGGAACTGTCTTGGACTGGTCTGATGGGCAGGTGGTGGGACCATTTCTGTTTCTGCAGTGATTCACTTAGCCAGGATTCATGGCCAGCCAGGGTGAACCGTTTATATAAGAATAAAACTATTGGTGATTGGTCTTCTGAGACTTTTTGGAGCCAGAGATTGAAAATCCGCGAATATACTATTTCGATGTTTACACCTGAGAAGCTGCAAAATGAAAGCCAGCATTGTTTGTCCACGAGCACGTTGGTGGTATATTTGGTCAATTGAACATAGAACACCATTGGACATTCGATAGGCATCCCATATTTTTGTTAACTATCCTTTTGCCATCCCGGGGCCTTTTAGTTGAAGACAGATAGTAACGTGTAGCGGTAGTTAACCTGGGGCCGCGCGCGCGTGCGCGCGGTCTGCCCTAGATTTAGGCAGTTGCCAGATATAGCACTTCAATTTCCTTCTCCGTCAACCGCTACCGTGACAAACGTGCAGCAATCCACGTACACAGGGTAGCTACAGTTCAGTGACCAGGTACAGCACTTCAAGTTCCCTTTCCGTCAACCGCTCGATACCCTTTAGAAACGCGGAGCAATCCACAGCTTTGAAGTCTCATTCGTGCTTGAATTTATATAGGTGTGTAAGAGGTATAGCCACAAACCATGTATACGGACCGAGGGTAGCTGAAAACTGTTGCCAGGTATCGCGCTTCAATTTCCCTACCCTGGGCCCGCGCGCGCGCGCCTTGCGGGCTCCGGGCTGCCCTAGATATAGGCGCGCGCGCGGACCCAGGGCAGCTACAAAGCAGTTGCCAGGTGTACCCAGGGTAGCTACAATTCAGTTGCCAAGTATAGCACTTCAAGCAACCGAAGTCAATTGCATTTCTTCAAAGCACAAAAAAGCACCTCCAAAACCTTGCTTCCGTGCACCCCTGCACACCACCTACTTTCGAATCTCAGCTGGCGCCTTGCCAGATATAGATACCCAGGGTAGCTACAATTCTGTTCCCAGGCGCGGACCCACTGGGTCCGTATAAATGCTATGTTGCTATACCTCTTACACGCCTATATAAGTTCAAAGCGCGAATGAGACTTCAAAGCTGTGGATTGCTGCGCGTGTGT